GTTAACCTGATGAGTGTGTTCAGCCAGCAGCTGGATTCAAACCCTTCTTATGGTGAGGCGACAGTGCTAACCACTGCGCCACCTCCAGTTTATATCAGTTATTTCACAGGTGTGTATCGAATGTGCACCTGTTTACCTTGATTCATTCATTTATAGTTTTTATGAACGTCTTTGAAAACTGTCTGCTCCCCAACGAAACACTAGAGGGGACCGAGCATTTGCAATCGTCGCACCCAGTCTCTGGAATAATCTTCCTATCGATGTCCGCATGTCAGATTCCATTTAATCGTTTAAATCACAGGTAAAAACTAGAGATGGACCGATCTGATATTACGTATCGGTGTCGGTCTGATACTGACGTAAATTACAGGATCGGATATCAGAGAGAAATAAAAAATGTAATCGATCCATTAAATATCACAAAACCACCTCACAAAACTTGCAACACGGCGCAACTCGGCTCATAACTGTAGCACATCGGAGCAGTGTGCTCACGTGATAGAGCGGCTGTGCGTATTTGTAGCCTCGCTACCAAACTCCGAGGAAGTTTTCCCCGAGAGAAGTAAAGCAAGTGTGTAAGTTCATCTCTGAATGTCTGTAAAGCATTCCAGAGTTAAGCTTAACAACCTATTGAGCGACCGCCTCTCTCTCTCTCTCTCTCCTGCTGCTACTTCAATCTTGAAACTGATCAATGATCAGCTGATCGTCTCTCTGGTTTGTTTTTGGCCCTATTTGCACCAGAAAGAGGAAACCAGCGGCTGAACAACAGCAGCACGTTTAAGCTTGATCAGCTGTTGTTAGAATTTATTTAATATTACTTTCTACTCGAGGATCTTTTTCTACAGCTGACGCTGGTAACTGTGCAGGGGCGGATCTAGCAAAGTTTAGCCAGGGGGGCCGATAGGGCATGAACAGGGAAAAGGGGGCACAAAGACATATTTTTCTTTCTTATTCTCATTTAAAATGTCGAGCTTTTAATAAATAATTATCTGAATCTGACACCCAAAGTTTTATTCTGATGAAAAATATATAGAAGTCCATTACTGTATATAGTAACTGTTAAGTCTAACATACCCTAGTAAGCTATAGTACTTTTTCCTTTGGGAACCATCTGTGCAGTCTGCAGTTCTGTAGAAGAAAGATGTTGAATCTATTTAATTATTCTTGAAAAATAATTGATTTCTGTGTTTTTTTTCCCCACTGCATCAAATTATAGTTGATTGTGTTGATTAAGCATCATGAGGTGGGGGGTGGTTCCTTATTTTTATTTATTTATTTATTGCTGGGAGTTTGCACCCCTATTAGTCAGGTTGCTTAATCTTTAAAATACCAGAAGGATGGTGCAGGTTTAAGTTTATTAGATTGATCAGTTTTGCTGAACTATGAAATATTTGGGTGCAGTGTATTTTTTGCATACAGGTATAACAGAATAGCTTTAGTGTTTTGTTATGTTTTTTAACTTGAGTATGAACTTATACAAAAACAGCAAGATATTAAAAAAACAGTTTTATTGATTAACAACACACTATATCGGATTCACATCGGTATCGGCAGATTTCCAAATTTACGGTATCGATATCGGACATAAAAACGTGGTATCGTGCCATCTCCAGTAAAAACTCACCTGTTCTAGCTTTTGAAGCAAATTAGTTTGGACCTCCACCTGGTCTGCAGTTGTGCTATGTAACTGTAACTGTCACAGTAACTGTAACTATAATTTTTTTTAATGTTTTTGTTGCCTTTGTTGTGATCTGCTTTGCTACCTTGTGTGAAGCACTTTGATGCATACTGTCCTTTTTAAATGTGCTATAGAAATAAAATATCGATTGCTCTCTCACAGCACGTCACACAGATGTGGACAAAGATCACCTGATGTCTCAGCTACAGTAACTGTGATGGGAACAATTACAGACTCATTACTGAACTGAAGTCATCGTTAAATTATTCTTTTTAAATCTTTGAACAGGATTTTCTATTCTTTGTTCTTTTACTTCAGGAAAGGATCCAAATATATGCTGTGTTAGCGCCCCCCAGCGGTTCAACTCCACACTGCACCGTTTTTAATCAAACCGGAAGCGGGTTTGTTATTCAAAATAAAAGCTGGAAAATAGTTAAAGTTTATTTAAACAGGTTATTTAATACAAACTCAGTTCAAAGTGTTTTCAGGACTCACAGATTTCTGCTCTAAAATAGTTTAAAAAAACAAAACAAGAAGCTGCTGAGGAAGAGCGCTGCTCTCGTTTACTGAGGACTTCCTTTAGGCTGTTTCATGTGCTCTTCTCTCCTCACTGAATCTCCCTGCAGACTGTCACTGACACACAAAACCAGCACACAAACAGGGATTACACTCACCAAACACTTCATTAGGTACACCTGCTCGACTACGCGTTAAAGCAGTTCTCAGTAAGTAATAATGTGGTGTGGGTGGAGAATTAAACGTCACCGTCAATGAAACTGTCTTGCTTTGTGTTGTTGTTACAGCTTCCTGACATATTTACTGTCTGATGGAGAGAAGAGGCTCTCATCTCTTTCCTCAGGAGGATTCATTTAATGACCTAAAACAAAAACTCTGAACATTTCATGTTTACCAGCATGTTGATCTCGAAATATGGATTTAAATGTAAATAACTCGCTCCTTTTATTTCTGCTGCTCATTGATCAGATTAAGACAATTTTAATTTGACTATGTTTTGTTTCTTCTTCTTTTCAAAAAATCAAAGAATATGACGTTATTTTGTGTTTATAAACTGCAGATAAATGATAACACTTTTGAGCGAAAGTTGGATTACATCGTGGAACAGCTGACTGCAGTCGTGAGTTCGCAGAATCGGCTCTCTGAGCAAAAGAATGACAACACCAGCAAGTTTGATACCATCGTGGGGAAGCTCGCAGTTCTCCAACGGGAGATTGAGAGACCAGTGTTGGAGTGTTAAAGAACAGCTTTGAAATTCTCCTGAGTTGCTGCAAAAGACAAATCTACATCATAATCCGGCTACCCTCTTGGGCGATCATGGCTCAAGAGTTGGGAGTTCGCCTTGTAATCGGAAGGTTACAAGGTGAAGGTTGCCGGTTCAAGCCCCAGCTCGGACAGTCTCGGTCGTTGTGTCCTTGGGCAAGACGCTTCACCTACCGCCTACTGGTGTTGGCCAGAAGGGCCGATATGGCAGCCTCGCTTCTGTCAGTGCGGCCCAAGGCAGCTGTGGCTACAACTGTAGCTGCCTCCACCAGTGTGTGAATGTGAGAGTGAATGGGTGGATGACTGGGTGTGTAAAGCGCTTTGGGGTCCCTAGTGGGACTAGTAAAAGCGCTATACAAATACAGGCCATTTACCATTTACCCCTTCGGCGCCAGCTGTGGGCTCAAGGCTGGAGCTGAACAACAACACCCTGATAACGACTGTGTTGAGTCTGTTCTTCCCATTCCCTACACAGCAAAATCTCCAGTGTTAAATTAACACTTTTGACAGTGTTATATGTTTAAAAGTAACCTAGTCAGTTTTGAAGATTAACAAAGACTAACACTGAGCAGTGCTGATTTTCTAACACTGGAATATTTCTAACATTTTGAGTTATTTTCCAGTGTTAGAAAATCAGCACTGCTCAGTGTTAGTCTTTGTTAATCTTCAAAACTGACTAGGTTACTTTTAAACATATAACACTGTCAAAAGTGTTAATTTAACACTCAACAGTGTTGTATTTAACACTCAGAGGTGTGGACCCATATAGACACTCTCTAGTGTTAATTTAACACTGGAGATTTTGCTGTGTACAAGGCCACCTGGGTTGGCTGGAAGACTGTTTACTTAGCCTGGCAGGGTGAAGGACACTGTCTCAGCTGAACTATGGACACGCACACACATACATATACTGATACTGATAAGCACTCACTGAAGCATCATCCTCCCTACCCCGGATCCAACGCCACCTCCAACGCTTACCTCCCCCATGATGTGGACATCAGGTCAGCTGGAGGTGCAGTCGAAGATTGCAGTGGTCCCAGATCAGATGTACACACTGGGACTCTTTCCCATGTTGCTGTCTGTGTTTATTGTGCTATGGTGTGTTGATATCTGTGCATTCCTGTATTATCCTTCTGTGTTACACATTTCAATGTTTTTTTCCTGCTACCTGGCCTGACCTGTCTCCCCAATGTGATGTTTGTGTATTGTATGTACGGTCGGCAAGGTCTGACATCTCGGTTGTGGGCAAAAGACCTGCAACTGACACATAAAGGCTATCTCATCATCTCATCTCTCATCATCAAAAATATTCTTGGAATATTTACCTGTGGTGATTCTTTCAAAATAAAATGAGAATTTCTTCCTCACAGAAAAAAACAAAACAAAAACACTTTGAAATGATTGAAACAAAAGTTTGGAGCCAACAAAACCATCACGATGTCCACACTCGGTGTGATGAGCTATGATGGGTTCTCCCTGAGGACGGGACAGCCGCTGTAGTTTAAAAGGTCTGAACTTCAGAAGCAGACTTTAGTTCGTCACTGCATCAAGTCAAGTGGCTTTTATTGTAGCACCAGGGTGAAATGACCCTGGTGCTACACGTGACATATAACACACACAGGACCACGTAAAGTGCCATGTGCAAAAAATGGAAATGTGCAAAATGCCGAGTATTGTGCAAAAGTAACTTGGTGTGTGTGTGTGTGTGTGTGTGTGTGTGTGTGTGTGTGTGTGTGTGTGTGTCAGTCCAGTCACTGAGTGTTCAGGACTCTGGTGCTCCAGCAGCTTCTTTAAAAGAGTCGTTCAGGTCAGAGGGCGTTGTTGTAACGTTTAGTTTCAGAGCTGCTCCTGAGGCTGATCAGGTGTGACATCAATCAGGTGGGGTACACTGATGTGTGCATTTACCTGTTATTTCCTCTTATTTATTATGTTTGAGTATTTGTAATTCACAGTTTTAAACTTATCTTATTATTTCTTGTTTGTTTGTGTTTTATTTTGAAAGGTTCCGCTGCCGGTAAAATGCCGCACCGTCGCTGTGTTTTATTGTGAAGGCGGAGCGGAAATACCCCTGTGTGTGGTTTTCGGGGTGCTCGGTGTGTCGGTGTTGCGGCTCCGGTAACTTGTGCTCAGCGGCTTAACGGCGGAGCTCCGGGAGGCCGTTCATGGAGGAAACGTGAAGTTTGACCGGAGGAGGAGAACTTTTCCCGCGGTAAGACTGACCTACCGACCCGTCCGGACTCACGGTTACCGTTAACTTCATCTGGTTAATGTTAACGTGAGCTGGTTACCGGGGAGACTCTCCGTTAGAAGCGGGAGTTTAAAGGGGTGAAAAAAAAAGTTTTTCGGTGTTTTATTGATTTATTTGTACTTTTTTTTGGCTCTTTGGCTTTTGTTCCCGCGGCTCGCGACTCTGTTCCCATGGTGAAGCTTCTTCAGCTCGCGAGAGTCTCCGGACAGAGCCGAGGGGGTTTCCGGAAACGTTCGTGTTTACATTGACCGTAGCTGACGTTAAACTCCTGCTCGGGTATCTCACACCTGTGTCGCTTTCAAAACAACTTCATTGTCCACTGTTGTAGCACAAAACACAACAGCAGCTGCACTGATCAGGGTGTTGATAACTAATCGAATACAAGAATATCAAATACGAGCTGAATTTAACTTTGGAGGATCACCACAGAGCTTATGATCAATGATAACACACTGGCAGGAGGAAAAGAGGAGGTGCTCAGAGGAGGTGGAGAAGGAGGACGTGTAGAGGGCTGGTGTGACAGAGGAGATCCTCAGCCGTTTTAATGACATCATCTGACCAATGACATGGCTGCTGTGAGGTTACTGTACTAATGGGGCCTCCAAGAAGAACGGGCTCCAGGTTGGGTCTGCAGTGAAATTCTAGGATGTTGACTGGATGTTAGTCAGAACTGATCAGCAGGTGTCTGTGGATAAAGACTGATAACAGCGCCAAGCCAGGTGATCACACACAGGCCACAAAGTTAAAGGTCCACTTCAGCATGTCCACAAAGGGAGGGGTCCATTTTTATATACAGTGTGTGTAATTTATTTACCTTTTCTGTGACAAAATGACTGAAGTAATCGCCAAAACATAAAAAAAAAAAATCAGAACACGGTCCGTGGACGATCGATCGATGAGTGCTTTAGCTCTCGTCTGTTTTTAATGGAGACAGACGTCTCACGTATCAATAATAATAATAATAATGGATACTTTATTGATCCCCATGGGGAAATTACTTGTTTTTCTCTGCATTTGACCCATTCACTCTGTGAAGCAGTGGGCAGCCCACTAAGCAGGCGCCCGGGGAGCAGTGTGTAGGGACGGTACCTTGCTCAGGGGTACCTCAGGGTAGCCGTTAAGTGGATTCGAACCGCCGACCTTCCATGGGGCGACCACTTTACCTACTGAGCTATCCCTGCCCCAATAAGTCTGGTGTTTCCAGGCTGAAGCAGTGTGCTGAGGATGATGATGGTGAAACAGCCAGCGCACAGATAAGAGGAGCACTGATGATGTAACAGAGGCATGGGGGAGGGGCCGAGGCGTGTTTCAGGGTCATACATGTGGAATGAACAGCACGCAGTCCCGGGCTTCCAGGCACGGAGGGTTCTTAAAATCACATCTGTACTTGGGATGAGAGTCACCTCAACGGTCTCCACAGAAAGCATCCTGGGATCATCCTGCCATGTTGTCTTCCTGTGAAAACAGTGCACTCTGGGTAAAAACAGCAGTAATACTTTAAAGCAGCGGTCCCCAACCCCCGGGCCTCGGACCAGTACCGGTCCGTGAGTCGTTTGGTACCGGGCCGCGAGAGTTGAGGCTCAGGCGTGAAATGTTTCGTTTTCAGGGTTTTATCGGTTTTCAGAGTTATTTTGTTATCGTTTTTATCGTTTACTCGGTTTCCCTGGGTCTTTTCACGTGTGTTATGAATAAAGCTTCTTTTTTTCGGTACCGATACTAGTTTTATTTTGTTGTATTTATCCGCGACACCTTAAAGGCCGGTCCGTGAAAATAATGTCGGGCATAAACCGGTCCGTGGCGCAAAAAAGGTTGGAGACTGCTGCTTTAAAGGGTCGTTCAACAAGCTCTTAAATGGAAGCAGAGAGTCTGAAGTTTAACCACTCCTGTCACTGACCTCGCTGTGTTTCAGCTGAAAGACCAAAACTACACATGAATAACTCGCTGTACTCTGCCTGACCTGTGTTTTCCCTCCAGGTGTGGGCGCCACAGTGTGATGCGTTGGCATGGAGGAGGCGGAGCACAGCCGCTACGTCTCTCAGCTGAAGGCCGAGTTCGACAGCTGCGACACGACGGCGACCGGCTTCCTGGACCGAGAGGAGCTCACGGCGCTGTGCCGCAAACTGCAGCTGGACGCTCACCTGCCACTGCTGCTCGCCACGCTGCTGGGAGAGAGGCGCTACGGCCGGGTAACTCTCTCTCTCTCTCACACACACACACACACACACACACACACACACACACACACACACACACACACACACACACACACACACACACACACACACACACGCAGTATTTGTGTGGCGCTTTCAATGAAATCAAGTGTTTGTGTTTCAGGTGAACTTCGAGGAGTTTAAGGAGGGCTTTGTGGCCGTGCTGTCCCGCTCTCTGGACTTCGGGACATCAGAGGACGACAGCAGCTACCTGGAGCCAGGTGACACATAGAAAGGGGGCAGGCCTACAGAGGTCAGGGGTCAGAGGTTCATGATTGGGGAACACAAATGGATGTCAGCTGATCTCTTGTTTGGTTTCATGTTATTTATAGCGCGATGTAAACCTTAAGTCATGTGACCTTCAGGGTGTTGTGTTGGATTAATCATGGCTCTGAGGCAGCAATGCAGGTGTGAGGGCTTTTACATGTTCAGACAGCCGACGGCCGTGTTGGTGTTGCTGCGGTCGCTGACACCACAGCACACTGAGCAGCTCGTTATGACCCAACATGGTTTCAGTGTTTGTGGCGCAGCAGGACGCCGCACGAATCCTCGGCCCTCTGAACAGTTTGGATGTAGAACTGGGACAGAGAGCGCAGATAAACGGCGTCTGCAGGCTGCAGACGTGCAGGAGCTGGGTGGTCTGGTTAAAGTCCGAGGAGGATTCTTCTTTGGCACATTCTGGCTGCGAGTGTCGCAGCGGCGTCTTGCTGACCCACTCAGGCTGCTCCTCTTCCTCTCTGCAGCTGTTCCAGAGGAGGTGAAGCCAAAGTTGGTGAAAGGAGTGAAGCGTTACGGCCGCCGCAGTAAACCCGACGCCGCGCTTACCCGTGACTCAGAAGACTCTCCGCCATCCAGAGCGGAGGCCTCAGACTCGTCACCGACCGGCATCCGAAAGGCCAAACTGAGACGGGCGACGTCACTGGAAAGCGTGGAGGTGAGACAGCTAGTTTTATTTTGAAACACTGACTTCCTGTTCTTCTTTCCTTTGACTGAGTTTGAGATGCTAACCCGGCTGTGGTCTGTTTCTTCGCTGGCCGGAGTGATTAGCTTGATAAAGAATTTAAAATCATAATCAACACAAAGAAGTCACATGTTGGCACATGTCACGTCGGTCTCTGTCATGGATTACATGAAGCCACATTATCAGACGCCCAGGTGTGGTCATGTGACTCGGTTCACTCGTCAGGATGTTTATGGCGGCTGGAGGTCTGCCTGCAATTAAAGTAATTAGAACTCTGAGCTCTGGAGTCATTTTCGAGTGGTTTGGTTGGAGTTTCAGTTAAAAACTGTGGGAACGCCCTGAATGTGGGCTTCCTGTACGTGTGAGCGTACCGCAGTGATGCTGTCTGACTGAACACCTGAAACTGCGTGTGCGTGCCGCGCTGCAGGGTCCCGCCGTCGTCCGTCGCCTGGATCTCGTGTGTCTGCGCCAGCCGAGGCGCTCGGGAGCTGCAGCTCTAATTAGAGTTTCTGGTTTTAGGTTTTCAGCTGCACGCAGAGGGCGGAGTCCCTGCAGAGGAGGTGGTTTACTCAGCTCTTTGTCACTTTGTTCTCGTGCCGTGACGATGCTGTGACCTCTGACCTCTGAATGTTTCTGCATCGGTGAGGCTGCAGCTGCGGTCTGGTTCTCACTGTGTGAAGTCAGCTGGTCTCAGGTTTCCTGCAATTCTGCAGCCGAGGCTGTGAATACCTGAGGGGGGAGGAGGAGGTTTGGCGGTTTCGGGGCGGTGGAGGTCTTTCAGGAAGTGGGATTGTGAGGAATGCGGCTGCTGGCAGACGCTCCGCTGGTTTGGCTGCTGCTTCTCACTTTTAGTTTTTGCTGACTGAGAATGTGAAACAGCTTCAGTGCAGCGGCTCTGCTGCGGGAACACGACTCCACCTCTTCTTCTTCATCACTTCTTTACACCAGAGCCACCCTTTCCTTTCTTCCTGGGTTTGTCTGAGGCATTGGACAGTTTTTCAGAAGGAAATGGTCTGACTGCAGTCTTCACCTCGAGTAACTGACTCTCTGCGGCTCACTTTGGTGCTGGAGAGGTGCCGAGTATGGATTTGGACTTTGTCCCTCCAGGCTGGGGCAGCGTCGTGGTGCCTTCAGTTTTGTCCTCATGCTGTACCTGAGTTTGCAGACACACTGGCCTCTTTCATGAGTCCGTGTGTTTCCTCCTGCACTGATCAGTGGAAGGCCTGGAGACTGGTCGGCGACCTCTCACCAAACACGTTTTCACAGTGTGACCACAGCTGTGGTGAATCAATCAGTCTGCATAAGAGGGTAAAATGCTGAGAGTCAGACTGACACAGTAACAGGAACATCAGAGAGTTTTCATTTGGATCTGAAACAGAGCACGTGTCCCACGGGACATCATGGCCTAAGCCCACAGAGCAGCGCCCACAGAGCAGCGCCCACAGAGCAGCGCCCACGATCCTGTTTGCATGTCTATTTTTAAATCTCAGTAGAACTGCAACCAAATAAGCGAGAGCAGGGGTCTCAAACTCCAGTCCTCGAGGGCCGACTGCAGAGCTGAGCAATGACAACATCAGCAGCTGGATAAAGGTTTCCAACTGGTCCTTCAACTCACGTGTTCTCCATAGTAGCAGAAATGCATAAAAATGAGGCTTTTATGAAAACACTGAATAAAAATGACTTCTTGAAAGACAATAAATGTACAGTTCAGTATACGAAGTGTGTTTGAATGGCAGAGATGAGCCATGGCTGAACGGGACTCACAGGCCTGAGTGTGCACTTCAGTCAGAATTATAATTTATTATTTAATTTATAATTGATATAATCTCTCTGTGTCTGTCAGTGAAACTGTTTTTGCAGAGAGTCCATCACTGGACTGTGATGGATGTGAAGCTGATGGCAGTACTTCAGCTGTGCAGCGATCAGCTGATTCTGAATGTTTTTGAAGATTTCTTCATCGAATATTTAAACATTTTAATCTGCGAGCAAAACACGTCCTAAAGGTCCTGATCCGTCCCGTAAATGTCCCGATGGACGAGGGTTTACACGCTAAGCTCTTCAGCGTGACAGTCAGGAGTGTGCACGTGAGCACGCACACACAAATATATAACATGCTCAGTGCGGCAGAAGTAACGACTGCTCAGGAATTTTTTCCAATAGCTGTTGGCTTCACTGTGTGTGTGTGTGTGTGTGTTGCAATCACTGACCTTCATGTTTTCACTGCAGAGCCTGAAGTCTGACGAGGAGGCAGGAAGTCAGAAGGAGACATCCTTTCAGTGTAAAGGTACCGCCACGTCCTGTCGCTGGAGTTTAATTATTATTAAACTCCAATATTATTAATTATTGGAGTTTTCTTGCTGCTGTTGGTTCCATACACACTCGCACACGCACACACATCTTGTTGCTGAACGTTTCCCTTCTCTTTGTTTCTGGGTGTTTTTATTCTGACGTTCAGCAATCGTACTGCACACCGTCACTTGGTGACAACTTCCTGTTTGTACATTTGTCTTCCTGAGTGATAAATCTGTCTTCATAGTTTATTTATAGTTATTTATTTTCTTTTTACCAAAACTGTGTTCATCAAAGTTACATACCGACGTGACAGGAACACATCTCAGCAGCACGGTGTCCACACACCGCGACGGAGCGCGCTCAGATGTAGAGATGAAAGTTTAGAAGCTTGTTCTCAGCAGGCCAATGCAGGAAGAACCTCCGTGTTCAAGCTCAGGTTCACGTGTCTGTCTGCAGGTCACCACCAGGGGGAGGAGCCAGGAGGACACGCGCTGATGCTGGTGTGCGAACACCTGGGTCTGCAACACCTGCACACTGAGGTGAGGTGTGTACCGTCGCCCTTTGTGATGACATCAGTATCTGTATTGATCTCTCTGCTCATAAACAGGAAGTGGACGTGCTGCTCAGGAAGTTGGATCCCGACCTAGACGGCAGGGTCAGCATTAGGGAATTCAAGAAGGTGCTCTGTGGCTCCACCCCCATCACCTGTTCCACCCCAGTACGACAAGCTGACCTGAGAGCGCCACACAAGGTGAGGCGCACACGTTCAGAGAAGAGTCTGCAGCCGAAGTCAGAGCTGCTGAAATACTCCACGAAAGAAAATGAGGTCACTGCTTCACCTGTGTCAATAACTCCGCCCCTCAGACCTGAGTGACCCTGACCTTGAACGTCTCACTGCTGAGATAAAGACTGTGAGCTTCATTAAATTACTTAACATTTTATTTCAGTGTCGAATAAAAAAGGAAGAAGCTGAATATTAGAAATAATGTCAGTCAGATCGATGAGCTGTGTTTAGAGTGAGAATGTCCCAGCAGCTCCTGAACGCAGCACCGCCCTCCTCGCCTCCTTTCAGCCAGTCAGGAAGCTCTGCGCAGCTGGAGCTCATCAGTCCAATCAGCTGTGGTGGCTGCAGGTGAGCAGGTAGTAGTGCACACAGACAGGTAAAGGCCATCGTGATCACAGGCTGCGAGGATGGAGAGGATGAGCGCTGCCGCCGCCACGTGCTGCTACAGTCAGGTGACTTAGACTGAACCCAGAAACTCTGAGCAGTTAGATGTGCTCTTATTTTGAAATGTAGGCAGAACGAGTGAGACTCGCTTTCCCAAAGATCTCATACAAATGAATGCCTGACCCTGACCATAACCTAACACGTAACACTGAAACTAAAACCACATTTTGAGTCTCAAAAATGCCTTCAAACTCGTGGGGATTTTGATCCCCATGAGGGCTGTTTGTCCTCAAAAGTATAGTAAACTACCAATTTTTGGCCCCCATGAAGATGTTAATACCCGTCCACACACACACACACAGATGTGCGTGCGTGCGTGTGTGTGAGGACGTTGGCGTGTTTCAGGCTCGCCTTGAAGCTAATCCAGATTAATGGTTAGGGCTGCGGCAGGCGCTCCTCTGGAGTCTGGTCCTGCGTTGGGCTTAAGCTGCTCTGTCTGCGTGCCGACCTTTGAACCTGGACTCTGTGTTCTGCTCCTCCATGCAGCCTCGGGAGGTGTCAGAGGAGCACTCGGCCCGCTCCGCCTCGCCCTCCCTGCTGATGGCCACCGTGGGTCAGAGGGTGCTCAGCCGGCTGGACGACGGCTCAGGATGTACGAGCCCCGAGCGCGTCGCGGCCCTGTGGACGGAGGAGGGCATCGGGAACAGCCGGGACATCCTGCAGGTCAGAGCTGGGCACAGGGCAAAGAGCCCGTTCTACCCTCTGATGTGTTTTTGTGTTAATGTTTCTGTGAGCGTGTCGGAGCAGCCTCTGCTCTGTGGCTCGTGGATCAGTTTAGTCTTTACTGACTCAGTTTCACAGAAAATCAAACGGGTCGCTTCCCCCTCCTCATCTTTGCTCATTGTTTCCTGTTTCTGGCTCTTCTTCTGTGGTGGATGTGACTTAGTGTTGATGTGAAAATCCTCGCTCTGGCTGTGTCCCAATCCAGGGTCTGCACGCTTGAAGTACGCGCACTACGCGTACTACGTACGGTGCGTACTATAAGTACGAGAAGTGCGGAAGTGAGAGGCTTGTGAAATGGGACGGTATACGCTTCGTCGCGCTGTTCAGGTTGCCTAGCAACCATGATACTAACCGCGAGAAACGTTTCACACAGCTTTGTGTGACAGAAATGAAGGAGAAAAATGTTTTGTTGGTCATTCATTTTTGTCATGACATCACTTTAGCTGAGTATCTGAGGCTGAGACCACAGGACTGTAAAACATGATTGTTGGGCTTCATTTCTGTGCTGAACAGTCATTTAAGATTAGTTAGTAAATAACAATTAGTTCATGTTGTTCATGAGACTAAAGTCATCCCACTGTGGTAATGTAAATATAATATGGCCAATAGTATAGTTATTGTCAGATTATACTCGTATTGATATTGAACCGTTCGATACAGTGCTTTCGGTTCAGTACGCATATGTATCGAACAATACAACATTTTTAATTTACTTTATCAACTTTTCTTCTGATGATGCTGTCTGTGTTGAGCGCTCAGTGGATCTGCGCTCGACTACTCCGCCTAGGCTGCACTGTCGAGCGCAGATCCACTGACTGCAGCGCAAGCTAGCGAGACAGAAGCTAAGCTCGTTGCAACATGGCAAATTGAACCTCCCCCACCCTCATTCAGATCTGGCCTTTGGAACTATTTTGGTTTTCATGTGACGTATGACCCTGAAGGTAAGCGAGTCATGGACTAAAGTAAAACAGTATGTCGGATGTGCCATGCAATGCTCAATTACATGGGTGGGAGCTAGTGTGTTAGCGCAGTTAGCTCGTTAACGTGTTGGCCGTCCAGCCCCACGCAAGGGGCGATCCGCAGTAGCTCGTTAATGGAGATTTTCCGTGTTGTGGCGTTAACGTCATTTCAGATTTACGCTGACAGCACTAGTGGGAACACAACGAATATGACTGCACATTTACGCCGACATCATCCTAGTGCAAAGACAAGTGGAAGCAGACAAAAACAACAAGCAGCATGCTACAAACTTTAGCCGAGTCATTTAGACAGCCGTTAGCACAGGATTCTCCTTATGGGGACCTGATATGTTTAATATGCTGCTGAGAATATAGCCCAGAAGAAGCGTATAGTAGAGCTTTTATTTTGGAAAGAGACATTTCTCTGTAATACACTCTCTTTTCCAAAGATGAGGGATTTCTCCATCAGATTTATTATTTTTATTTTGTTGTTTCAGCAACATTAAATTTAAAAACTGTACTTTTGAGTTCAAATATATATTTATAATTTTAATAAATGACAAATTAAAAAAGCATGAACATTTTTTTTTGTATCGAAAAAATATCGAACCGTGACACCAAAGTATCGAATCGGTGATGTCGGCTTAAATGTGCAGTCATATTCATTGTGTTCCACTAGTGTTGTCAGCGTTAATCTCGTTAAAATGACGTTAACACCATAACTCGGCAAATCTCCGTTAACGAGCTACCACGGATCGCCCCGTGCTCGTTAATGTGTTGACGCTGTCCAGTGGGGCTGGACAGCGTCAACACATTAAACCCCAGACATAAAACCCACATGGTGTGTTGTAAACTCTGTTTGTGTATGTATGTGTGCGTGCATGTGAGTGAGTGTGTGTGTCGTAACAGTTAAAGCACTGTGTGTATGTCTCTGTGTATGTGACTTTATGACTGACAGGAAGTCACATACATATATTCTAATTATGTTTTCATTTACTCACATAACTCATTGAATTTAATTCAGTTTTATGTAGCAACCAAACACAGCTACAGTCGCCCCAATTGTTTTTACTGTCCGACAGTACAGACCAGAGCAGGGCGATATGACCAAAAATATTTATATCAATATATACATTTGAAAATTTGCGATAACGATATAACTGACGATATAATCGACACGAGACAAAATACTTTACAACTCCTCAACTTTATTAGTGCAAAACAAACATCAATGTATTTCCACTGAAACAAGCAGCTGTTTTTTATCTGCATTAAAGTTATATAAAAACGTAACAGTGCAAATGCAAACTCCTCGCTGACAGTTTAACCAAAAGGCATTTCCAGTGGAAACTGGCCGACGTATCCTCAGCATAACCATGTATAATATCCACAACACTTAAAGAGGTCATACACACACAATACGGTAACATTATGTTGAAGCGCAGTACGTATCACTCCGCGAGGCTCCGCCTACGATGCCATAATGCTCCGACAATCCATCAAGCGGTGCGGCTTCGTAGCTCAGCAAAGTCGTGCTGAAACATTTGACAGATTTTCGAGCGCCGTGCACATAAAATCGTTTCCAGGTCAGTAAACACAACCAGAGTTCACACATAAGGCGCACGGGATTATAAGGGGCTCTGTCGAGTTTACAGAAAATCTTGCTGCAGCATTTTGGATCAGCTGAAGGCTTTTCAGTGAGTTTTTAGGACTTCCTGATAATAATGAATTACAGTCGTCCAGCCTGGAAGTAATAAATGCATGAACTAGTGTGTGTTATCTGGCTTCATGGACAGATAGAGCTGGGTGTCATCTGCATAGCAGTGTAAATGTATGCTATGTCTTCTAATGATTGTTGAACTGAATCATGTGACCTGAGGCGGGCTCAGCTGGACAGATGTTCCTGATAATGGCGTGTGAGTGAGTGACTCCAGCTGTGTATGTCCCTGCAGACTCTGGACTTCCCCTTGGAGGAGCGCCTCAGTCTGGCAGATCTGACGCTGGCGCTGGACAACGAGCTGCTGGTCAGCGGGAACGGCATCCACCAGGCGGCGCTCATCTCCTACAAGATCGAAATCCAGCACCTGCAGTAGGTTTGATGAACTTTCCGAGGAAACACGGGGCGCTGCTCAAGGCGGGGCTGGAGCAGCGCCCCGTGCTGCGTCTGCAGGTCCTTTAAAAACTCACATTTGCCTGTCACACTGACAGGATTTAGTGTCCTGTGTTTAACTTTAAATCAGTTGTTTTTGTGCTCGTGCCTCATGTCGCCTCATTCCTACATACAGCACAGCATTTAGATGTCACAACTCCTCCCTCTCTCTCAGACTGAGATTTCAGGGGCTCATCTGAGGCTCAGTTACATTCTGTGCTAAAATCAGAAGAGTTTAGCCTCCTCTGAGCCTCCTCAGACAGTCCTGTCCTGGATTATTGATGTCTCCACTGATAATGACCTGTAATAATCACAGATTGATCTGGTATGTTGGGATTTCTGGGAGTGCTCTGAGCTTCAGTCTGAAGCTCTTGGTAGCTGTTGGCGACGGTGATGTTTGTGCTGCTCTGACCTCCGCAGTGACGGAGCAGAGCTCTGTGACGAGGAGCTGAACCCTGAGCTCTCTGTCGTCTGTGTTCAGGGAGGTGGCAGAGCAGGCCTGCAGGGAGCGCGACAAGGTGAAGGCCGACCTGGAGCGGGCCGACCGCAGGAACCTGCAGCTGGTCAGAGAGGTGGACGACCGGCACGCCAGCATGGAGACGCTCAACCAGAGCCGGATCAGGTAAGGGTCGGGCTCTGTGCCTGCTGCGCTCTACACTGATAGCACGATTGCCGCCGTGTGCACGGGTGAGACGCCGGTGCTGACGAGCCGCTCTGTGATTGGCAGGGACCTGGAGCAGGACTTCCGCGATAGGCTGACGGCTCTGCGCAGCGAGACAGAGCAGGAGAGCGAGGCGCTGCTGCAGCACATAGAGCGAGAGCGCGGCGCTCTGCAGGAGGAGCTGCAGCTGCTCAGAGCGCAGGAGGCGGAGCTACAGGAGGAGCTCTGCAACGCCGTGCAGGTGTGCTACACCGCTTCTCCTCTGTCATGTTTAGTCACAGGTCCCCATCAGGACGAGCAGTTTGTGATCAGATCGGTTATTGAAAATCAAGAGGCGTGAAGCGCTGAGCGCGTCCTGTCGTTTCAGGAGAACGGTCGTCTGGAGGAGGAGCTGAACGCTGTGAAGATGAAGCTGACTGAAGCCGAAGGCTCAGCGAGGCGACTGCAGAGAGACCTGGACCAGATGCTGAGTGACAAGGTGAGCAAAGAAAGCCTTTACGCCGCCGCCGAGGTTAAACGCCAGGTTACGGCCAGAGCTCGGTCTGACTCACAGCGTCATCAGTCGGCTCCGTTCTCACGCTGTGCGCCTCTGACACCTAATCTTACGTCACGCGTCCCAGAGTTTATCTGTTCTTCTTCCAGTTTTGTCGTTAAACGAGCGACAGCAGCTCCCGGCTGTAATGAGGAAAAAATGTTTTCAGCCAGCAAACTGTGACAGAAGAGTTTGAAAGTCTTCCAACTTGTTCAGCAAATTTATCAGAGGAGTGAGGCGTGAAGGGAAAGGAGGCGGAGTTTACCTGAAGTGGGAGAAACGAGTAAGACGGTGGAGAGTGGGTCAGCTGCTGCTCCACACTCCGTGAGACTCGCCAGAGGTGATTGGATCGCTTCTGTGATGTCACAGTGAAGATGAGCGGGTGACCGCCACTTCCTGCACCTCGTCTAGCAATCTCACGTGACCTGAGCGCCTTCAAAATAAAAGCTGCAGGTGACTACAGCGCGAAGCTGGTTGGTGGTCTCTACGTGGATCGCGACTGCAGATGAAGCATTTCCTCCTCTTGTTTTCAGACCTTGTTCGGACTCAGGGCTGGATTCAGACGGCATCACACGGAAAATTAAAAATGTTCACGAACAGAAAACCTGATGAACAGAGTTCACTGATTGTAATTTTAAAGGTTGTGGTTCAATCATGAACTTACTGCTGGTGAAGTATTCCTTATAACAGCCGTTAGTATCAAAGCTAATATAATGAATTACAGCTTTTATTTGTTTGACTGTGGCGCCCCCTGCAGTACCCCTGCAGTACCCCAGTACTCTGGGTAAGTGACCCAGGACACAGGTGATCTGGGTGACGTGATGCACGGAAAGAAAAGAATGCATTTCCATAACTAGATCACATGTAGCAGCTTTAATTCACACACCTGACAGCGCTGTTAGCGAGGGATGTAAGACGCGCTACAGCGAGACGCCAAACGTCAGACCATAAACTCTGATGTGTGGGTGTGTGCATGTGTGTCGCTGACACACTGCAGCTGGTGTTGGGTAACTCCAGCTTGTTTCTGATGAATGATTAATGAAGCTTTCCTCTGACTTGGTTTCTCCGTGACTTTACGTTTCAGTTTAAGCAGCTGATGATCGACTGACTGCTGTTTTTGTTTTGGCAGTTTGGCGGTTTGGACCCGTCCAGCGTTGGTCTGAGTCACGAGGAAAGATTGTCTGAAATCATCAAAGAGTACGAGCAGCAGTGCCGGGTAAGACCGACCGCCTTAAATTGTCACGCTTTTATTTTGAAGGGCACGATGATTTTGCAGAAACAATCTGTTTGAAGCACATTTCATTTACAGACCTGAGTGTTGGTGTGGTGATGAGGCAGCGGTCTGCAGCTTTGAATGTAAGCTGTGAAGTGTTGGACTATGTGTCCTCTCAGCCAATCAAACGCAGGCAGGCAGCAAACGTTAATACTGAGGCCGTGTAGAGACCACAGCAGGTAAAGGCTTCCCAGGAAACAGATGACAGGAAGTCCTTTCAAATTAAAATGTAATTTTAATTACACATACAGCAAATATAAACTAGAAAGTGCATTTTTTGAAGAAACTGCAGTGTGAATGCTGAAATCTGAATGTATGCACTGAAATGAATTAATTGCTGAATTTTAAGTTAAAAAATTTGAATGAGATAAGAAAACCGAATTTAATCTGACAACAAAGGTGCTGAACTGCTAAACGTTGACGTTTACACAGAAGAAGAAGTTGGAAAAAAGCTGAAAATGTTTTAATTGTAAATTAGAAAAACCTAAGAAATGAGAAAAGAAAATTTAAAGTCAGAAAACATCTGAATGAATATTAAAAGTTCATATTCTTTTTACTCATTCAGTGATTCAATGTGATCCCTCCGCTTGGATCCACACAGTTTAAAACGTTCACATCTTTGAGCTTTGAAAGACTTGCTATTGGAAAGAGAACAACGATGGCGACGTTGAGGGTAAAATGATGGCTATAACACTGTGGACACAGCAGCAGTTGAAAGAGAAGTGTTTAAGATGAATCTTGGCAGAGTGAGGTCGTTAGGCAGGCAGGTGTGAGCCTGGTTGCCAGAGCATCTCTGCTGCTGAGGATCAATTCATCGAGTCACCAGCCTCAGGGGGGCAGCTGTAAAAACAGCTGTTTGGACATCATCCTGTCACATGTGCATTGCAGCCAAACAGCTGTTTCCTCTGTATTTGCATGTAGGCAGATACAGGACTGTGTGTGTCAGCACTGAAAACCTGTGTGTGTGTGTGTGTGTGTGTGTGTGTGTGTGTGTGTGTGTGTGTGTGTGTGTGTGTGTGTGTGTGTGTGTGTGTCGCGTTCAGGAGCTGCAGGACAGAAACGATGAGCTGAGCTCAGAGTTGGAGCTGCTGAAGAATCAGAGGAGAAACAGGAAGTGCAGACGGCGTGCTGGAGCCGCCAACGTGCTGAGCTGGAACCAGCAACACTCGGAGTCAGACTCAGGTAACACAACGACACACAAATACACACAAAAGCTCCTGACACGACAAACCCGTTCAGCCTCTAGGCTTTGTGAAAAACAGCAGACAGACGCACTAAAGTGAACCCGTTCCTGTCAGGAGAGGGCGGCGCTGTGCCTGAATCCAGAAAACCGTCCAATAAAAACGCTCGATTCACATTGGGGGGGTGTGTCCAAAGGCTGCGTCCTCCTGAGGCCGCATCTGTAGGCCGATTACGTCACAGCGACGCGCCGAAGGCTGTCCAAATTCGTAGACTCCTCCGAATGCAGCCGACAAATGCATCCTTCATTTCCCCAGATTTGAAGGATGGGTCGGGTGTGTCCTTCGTGGCCCACCATATCCCAGAATTCATAGCGCAGCCCAGACAATTTCAGTTTCTAACAATGGCGGCAGCTGCTTAGCTTTAATATTACTCTTATTATTCTTTCTGGGTCACAAAATAAACTTTTAACATATTTTCGGGAGAGAAAGTAGCTGTGCAAACATCAAATATCTGCTCAGTTTATCAAGACACCACATATTTGCAAAAGTGCTTCGATGTTTTCAGACACGTCTCTTACCCACCAGCTCGATAGCTGACCCAGGACAACAGCGAACTCCCTGCACATAGTTGTCAGGCCCCCCCCCCCATGGTCTTCGCTACTCAGGTTAAACATGATATATGAGTCACTTGGATAACTTAAAAATGTTATTGTTGGGCTTTTTCAGTGTTGTGTTTGTTTGTGAGTAAATCAGTTTGGCTGAGATTGAAGTTATTAGATTAGACAAAATAAAACTTTATTAATCCATCGGGTGGTTTTCACACAGCTGAATAAACGTCAAACAGAAAACTGATTAAACAGAAGTGTGAGACGGTCGAGAGTTTATTAAACTCCACCGAGACGCAAATTCAACGGTCTTCTGTGGACCCGGCCCACGTAGACCACGAAGGCCGGGTCCTCAGGGGGACGCAGCCCATGAATTTGGACACAGCTATTGATGTCAAAGCTGACTGCTGGTTGCTCAGTTTTATCTCCTCTAATCAGACGCACAAAAACTCTCACGAAAGTTTGTCAGACACAAAAATGAGAGAGAAGCAAACAAACGTCCAGATCACCGATCGGTCGATTGGTTGGTTCATGTTTTCTTGTCTGACGTGAACATGAGGCTGTAAAACCTGCTGAGAGACTTTAACTGGATTTACAGGTAAGGTGTGGACACGCCCACACACAGACCCACAGGTTTCAGTCTCGGTGTGAATTAATCATGTCTCTTGGTAAGTGTGTGTGTGTGTGTGTGTGTGTGTGTGTGTGTGTGTGTGTGTGTTCCGGTTTCTCAGAGCTGATTTGGTTTTTGTGTTTTTGTTCAGACTCGGACGTGAAGCACTGCTCGTCTCCTCGGGTCAGGAAGAAACTGGAGCCGGCTGATAAAGCAGGTGACACACACACACACACACACACACACACTCAGTCACACAGGGCTGTATGTGATTGGCTGAGCCAGCCTCCTGAGACTTCCTGTGATTACTTAGTTACTCCCACTCGTTATACTGCTCGTTACATGTTTCATGTTTCTCTGTAAAATGAAACGCGCTGTCTCATAATCACCATTTAACAATAAACACCTGAGGCTGCAGCCCCACACACACCAACACACGTGACCTCACTCATGTATGAACACAAATCAGACATGAGACTTCAAAGCGGTCGTCATGGTGATTCTACTGTAGAAATATGGACAGGTAGAAACGGAGGCTCACCATCTGTCACCTGCTGAGTTCAGCAGCGGCTCACTTTATCACGGTGCTGGTCTGGGGTCAGCATTCACTCGGCTTTAGCGTCACTCTGGGTTCTTGGCTAGCTGCAGTATGATGCAGTTGTTTCAGTCCTGGAGCAGTGTCCGCTTCACCATCACGCTCTCGTGCAATAAAACTCAAAGTTACGTCCACGCTGACCGTGTTACTGTTCTCCTCCAACACCTGGAATCAGCTGATCGTAGCCAGAGTGCAGGAACCTATAAGTGGGATCGAGCAGGCAGGCTAACGATTCCAAGGAACTCGACTACGGCAACATGCGAACCAAAATTTTGATTGGAGCCCCGCCCCCCTCTCTCTCTCTCTCTCTCAGCTCTGTGCTCATTGGACGACTCGGGCCCGGCCGTCAGCATCCAGACTGAACTGGCCCTGGAACAACTGAAGCAGAAACACGAGGAGGAGCTTCAGCAGCTCAACATCCAGCTGGAGACGCAGGTCACACACACACACACACACACATCGCACGCAGTGTGTAGCCTTCAGACCATGACACTTGCTCCTCCTCCTCCTCCACAGATGAACTACTATGAGCGCAGCTTGGAGAAGATGAGGCAGAGCATGGAGGTGGAGCGGAAGGACATCTCTCAGGCCTTCAAGGTAAGGAAGGTGTCGCACTAAAAGCTGTCGTACCAGAAACAAAGTTCCTGCGACGGGACACCGTCAGAGACGGCTGCACACTGCTCGTCTCTGACGTTTCCACTTTTGTTCAGATGTCCCAGTTTAAAGGAATGGAGTCCTGCTGGTTCCCAGTATCCCTGCTTTCCTCCACATTTGAACTGAACTTTAAATCCACGTCAGGACGGTGCTGCAGCAGGTGCAGCAGGTGGAGCTGAACCTTGGAGGCAGCTGAACTTAAATTTTCTGGTTTTATTCTCACCTGTGTGTCAGCTGGAGATCAGCGAGCTGGAGGAGCAGAAGTCTCAGGTGGAGCAGCAGGTGAAGCAGCTGAAGGAGACCGTGGACAAACTGCAGACTCAGATCCAGCACGGAGGAGGGCGGAGCAACGAGCAGGAGCGCAGGTAACGTTACCTGTCTGAGGATTTGTACCTCAGGCTGTGGGACCCGCTCTGTTTCTGACCTTTGACCCCGGTTATGCTCCCAGGATGCAGCGGGAGCGCGCCGAGCTGGAGCAGAACTTCGCCAGAGAGATTGGTAACCTGGTGCAGCGGCTGAGCGCTGAGAAGGACCAGCTGGAGGCGGAGCTGAAGCTGAAGATGGATCAGGAGGTGATGCTGGTCAGGTGGGTGATGACCTCATAAAAACGTCAGCGGAGGTGTGATGATACCCGATGACATCATCACTGAGTGCCGACATGTAGCCTGACCCTGCATCAAACGTTTAAACCAATCATGAAGCTCGACTCTTTACCTGAGTCTGTCTCACACGGTCGACACTCCACCCATTCAAGCCTCACACTTAGTTTAGCAGCCTTCCTGTGACTATCAAAATAAAACCTCTGAGACATAAAAGCTTAGGCCAGGGGTCGGCAACCCGCGGCTCCGGAGCTGCATGCGGCTCTTTAGTCTTTATTTTGCGGCTCCGGGTGGTTTGGGAAAATAAATTAGAAGTATTTAACTGAAGTGTATTTTATTTGTTTGTTTCTTTTTTACCTTGTAGTTCTAAATTGTTAGATTATTGTGATATTGAAATATAAAAATAAAATTATATCTTATTATTTTTTTTCATCGCTCAAAATAAGCGTCACACTCGTGGAAGCCGGTGTACCCGCCGAAACGCCGTGCATTTACTTTCAACCCCAGGTAGGCCAATTATAGATCTTGGATCCACATTATGTCAGCAGCTCCACCGTGAACTATGTTAAAAACAAACACGCTCACGCCTCACAGACGACAGCTTACAGTCCTGTAAAGATGAAGTGACTTCGTACAGCCCCGACCTGCAGACGCTGTGCGCAGAGGTTCAAGAGCAGAAGTCCCGTTGTAAACATACCACGGCAGACCCGACGATGTTTGCATGAACACGCTTTTCACACACTGTTGCTGTTCGCACACAGCCGGCTGTAGCTTTGCAGCTCACAGCCCGACACACACCAACACAACAGCAGAGCGAGCACAGACGTAAAGGCGGCGAGGCGTGATTGCGGGTGCCGCTCAGATGAGTCCGCCCCCCCTGTAGCGGCGCTGCAGACCACGCCCCGCCACACACATTAACCAGGTAAAATACATATTTATGCAGAATTTTGCAAATATCTATTTTTCATTTTTCAGCAGCATAGAGCTTATTTCCAATTATTTTTTAAAAGTCAGGTCAAGGCTCCAAAAGCACAAAGGCAACATGAGGGGGGCTCACAGCAGCTTTTGTTTGCTGGATCATTTTAGTTCAGCTGGGTGTCTTTACTTTGGTTATATTTCTTCAAACGTGTTCATTACATAAATAAAATGTAATTTTCTCTGTAGCACTTCATGGATTTCATAAACAGCACACCTTAGTTGCTCTGTGGATTCTTTTAAAAAGCAGTTAAAAACTTTTCTGTTCAAACAAGCCTTTTGTTGATCCACGTATTTTACATTCTTTACATTTGATCCTTTACATTGTGTATAATGTCTATTGATTGTATTGTTTATTTTAATCTTTGTGTGCAGCACTTTGTGACTGCCTGTCTGTGAAAAGCGCTTAATAAATAAACTTTACTTACTTTAGTTGTTCACACAAAGCATAAAGCTAAAAAAACAACATATACAGTGTTATCTTCGTTTTAGATTTCAAAAACTATTTGCGGTTCCCAGTGTTTGCTTTTGCGTGGAAACCGGGTCCAAGTGGCTCTTTGGGTGTTAAAGGTTGCTGACCCCTGGCTTAGGTGCTCTGAGTTCCTGTTTTTTCAAAATAAAATGAACCGACACAGTTCCCGTTGTTGTACGTGCATGTTGAATTATGGACGCTTGGCTGGTTTTGCGTCTCCTGGAGCAGGGAGGAGTCAGAGCAGCAGCTCGCTCAGATGAAGATGCAGCACGGTGAAGCTCAGCGCCGCCTCCTGCACCAGCTCCACCAGGAACGCCGGCGGCTGCAGGAGCAGAGAGGATTCTGGGAGAGGAGGCTCGTGCAGGTGGAGCAGGAGAAACTGTGCAGTGAGGAGCGAGCCCGGGAAGAGAAGAGGAGCATGGAGGAACGGCAAGAGGAAGAGGTCCGGCTCCTGAAAGAGCAAGTCTCCGGTTTGCAGGATGTCCTGCGGGCGTCCAGCCAATCAGAGGCCAATTTGAAGGAGGACCTGGAGGCGTCTTACAGGCGGAGCGGGGAGCTGGAGGCTCGGCTGGAGGAGGCCTGCGCGCAGCTGGAGGAGAGTATCGCCTTCTTGGAGTCTCAGGAGCTTCTGAACAAACGCCTGGCCTCGGAGAAGAGCTCGGCGGAGGGGGAGCTGCTGCTAGCGAGGAGCAGGGAGGAGGAGCTTCAGGTTCAGGTGTCCCACACAAAGGCTGAGCTGGAGGAGCTGCAGGCTGCGTCCGCGTGCCTCCTGCAGGACCGAGAGGAGGCGGCAGGAAGCTGCAACCGGCTCTCCTGCACCGTCGCCCAGCAACAGGCTCAGCTCCGAGCCCGCGAGCACACGGTCTCCTCCCTCAGGGCGGAGCTGGAGAACCTGCAGGAGGCGCTCAGGAGCAAAGCTGAGTCAGTTTCCAGACTTGCGGCCGAACTGGACTCTCTGAAGACAGACCGCGCCCGGCTGATCCAGGACCTGAAGGAGCAGGCCATGGCCGTGGACCACCTACAGCTGCAGCTGGACGGCATCTCCGAGGAGCTGGACCGGAGGAGGAGTGGCGAGGAGACCCTGCAGGAGGCTCTGGAGCAGGAGCAGAGCCGGACCTCGCTGCTCCAGTCCAGCCTGGCGGAGGAGAAGGAGGAGGTGTGGCGTCTGAGCCAGGAGAACGGGACCTACATCCGGCTCACCGACCAGCTCTCCACCCAGATCGTGGAGATGGAGGAGGAGATCTCTTCTCTCAGAGACCACCTCCGAGACCTCAGCTCCCAGCTCAACGACACCGCTGACCTGGTCCTGGAGCTCCGCAAGCAGCTCAACGCCAAGACCGGTCAGGTCGAGCCGGCGAGCAGCGAGCAGCTCCTCCAGTTGCAGACCGCCCTGCGGGACTCCGAGAGCCGGCAGAGGACGGCGGAGGAAGACTTGGAGAGGGAGAAGAAGAAGATGACGAAGCAGCTGCTGGAGCTGGAGGACCTGGTTCTGGCTCTGGAAGAGCTGGTGGAGCCGGCCGGTGCACGCAGGTTTGTGGAGCATGAGCCGGACCGGAGACCGGAGACTAACCTCCGTCTGCCTGACCCACAATGCACTGCTGCAGACTGACCCTTCACCCCATCGCTAACCGAATGACATCATCTAAATGCATGAAAATACTTATCACTGACTCCGCCCTCCTCCTGTCTGTCCTTTTGTCTTTCCTTAAATTCTTTCTTCATAATTCAAGTCTGTTTGATCTGATTGACGACGATGATGATGACGTGTGGAGCCTCTGTGCTCTCGGTTTGTGAAACCAGACGAAGCCTCGCCCACTGCTGGCTGCAGCGATGGTGCCCACCTGTGCAGGTGCTGAGCTGAAGATATTAATAACGGCTTCCTCTGGTTTCTGAGCCGCCTCCTCCGACCACAGCGTGTTTCAGTTTGTGCACCATCGCTTGTATGAATATAGCGCGTGTTCACAGCGCTGGCTGAGCTGCTGTCCAATCACGACGCTGCGTTTGTCTGAGGTGCAGAGCGCGGTTCTGATTCTGTGTTTTGGGCCGCAGGACTCAGCTGGAGGAGGTCCGATCAGAGAACGCAGCGCTCCAGGAGAGACTCGGCGCCCTGCAGCAGGAAGTCCACAAGATGGAGGACGAGGTTGCCAAGAAGAGGTGAGCGCCGCGGCTCTAGCTGCAGCTCACCCCTGAGGCTGCGCAGGTGTGCAGGCAGGTGGTTGTTTCTGAGCAGGTGAGGCAGAACCTGCTGTCATCTGATTGGCTAAAGGTGACGATGGGCCGTGATGAGTCAGGAGCTCAGCGTAAACCTGAGATAGCTTGACCCGGTTTACTCTCCTCTGGTCTCGGCGCAGGATCGGCATCCTTCTAATGTTGTCGCCCTTTAATGTTAAATTTAATGCTGCAGAGCCACATGACGCCGTCTTCTCCTCCTGCAGGAGGAAACTGGAGGAGATGGAGAGAGAACACGAGAGAAGCAGAGAAGAAGAAGAGAGGCTGCACAGAGAGGTGAGCGCTGACCAAACTCCACTGAAATATCTGCTGATTTAAGCCGAGGTGTTTGTGACCCGTCTGCACCGGACTCAGATTTCTCTTGATTTTACAAACACGTTTATGTCTGTGTCGCTCAGGGTTTAATACTTTAAATGTAATCCGATTACACTGCTTCTGATTCTCCAAACCAGGATATGTCTGGTTCAGGTTTTAGAAATCCAGATTATGATTGATGATGATGATGATGTGTGCAGAACTCCAGATATCGTGAGGAGGTTCTGGATCTGAGCAGCAGGAACCTGCAGCTGAGCACCGACAACGCTGAGCTCAGCACCCGTCTCCGTGGAGACCAGGAATCAGTCCGTATGCTGCACGAGCGCCTAGCGACGGTTTCTAAGGAGCAGGAAGAGGAGCATGCGACGGTAAGCTGAGCGTCGATGATGCTCACACTTGTCGCTTTTGTTTTTTCTTCACTCGTTTGACTTTAGATTTTACCGGTGGCGAGGTGTCGTCACTCCACTACGGCAGCGCGGAGACCCCAGTGTGTGAACGGGATGGGTCGAGAACGTGGCGACGAGTGTATCTGCCGTGAGCTCTGACGGATGAACGGTTTCTGCTGTTTCAGGTGCGGCGGCTGCAGGACGCAGCGCTGCAGCACGAGCGGGAGAAGCTGCAACTGCAGGCGTCCTGGACACAGGAGAAACAGCTGCTGGAGGCGGAGCTTAGCACCTCCAAGGAGAAGGTAGGAGGTTCTGAATTAAAACTGTGCAGGATCCCAGCTCAGAGCTGTTAATGAGGTCAACAAGGACACTCACCTCGCTGTGCTTCATTCTCAGCTGGAGCGCCAGCCGGTGCTGGAGGCGGAGCTCAGCGCCGTGACTCTGAAGCTGCAATGGGTGGAGGAGGACAAGGCCAAACTGCTGAGAGACGCCGATGAGCGAAATACAAAGGTCGATATCGCAGACATTAAATGTGAAAAACAAGAAAACGAACAGCAACACCTGCAGCTTTAACGCAGGACAGGTTTAACCCTCGGGGTCAAAGGTCAGGCCACGTCACACTCCGCTCTTTCAGCCATGTGTGAAGGCGTTTGGACGAGGTCGTCGAGTGGACGTTAGTGTTAGCTAGCTTTAAGCCTCAGTCTGTGTCACATGATCACAGAGCCTTTTTTTTCTTCAGGTGGAGAAGCTGCAGCAGAGCGTGCTGTCTCTGGAGTCGGAGGCGGAGCTCCTTCACTCTCAGCTTGCCGCCATCAGTCAGGAGAAACTCAGCCACGCCCAGGATGCGACGGAGCTACAGAGGAAGTTGCAGGAGGCTCAGAGCAGGGTGAGACCGCCACCTCTGACATCGCCACGTTGACTATGACTGGACTGCGGCCCCATCATTCTGATTGGCTGCTTCCTGTTTCAGGTGGAGGAGTTGGAGGCCGGTGTCAGGAAGCTGATGAGGGAGAAGGAGGAGCTCCGACAGGCGCTGCAGGAGCAAGAGGAGCAGGCCTCTGTCACTCTGCAGGAAGAGACCTGCAAACTGAGAGTCCAGAACCAGGAGCTCCAACACCAGGTACTGTCCAGGTGCAGCTGGGGGGCGGGGTCTGCTCAAGATTCTTAAAGCTGATTGGTCGATGTTTGCTCAGCTCTCGGAGCTGCAGGTGGAAAATGTGAAGGTCCACAAACTGAGCGAGGAGCAAAAGGAGCTGAAGAGCAGACTGAGTGAGGCGGAGGAGGCCCGGATCCAGGCCCAGGACCAGGTCTGTGCCCCGGATCAGGACTGCAGGGGGGTCCAATCAGATAAGAGTTTTATCAACAGGAACCAGGGCTGCAGCGAGTCTTTGACTGTTTCGAAACCAATTTGTTTCCGTACAAATTCTTTCAATGCTTCGTCATCATGGAAACGTTTGCGACTAAAACCAGGCCTGCAGTATAATTCAATTCAATTTTATTTATATAGCACCAAATCACAACATAAGTCGCCTCAAGGCGCTTCATAGATACAGAGGAAAACCCAACAATCACATGACCCCCTATGAGCAGCACTTTGGCGACAGTGGGAAGGAAGAACTCCCTTTTAACAGGAAGAAACCTCCAGCAAAACCAGGCTCAGGGAGGGGCGGGGCCATCTGCTGCGATTGGTTGGGGTGAGAGAAGGAAGACAGGATAAAGACATGGTGTGGAGGAGAGACAGAGGTTAATAACAGATATGATTCAATGCAGAGAGGTCTGTTAATACATAGTGAGCGAGAAAGGTGACTGGAAAGGAAAAACTCAATGCATCATGGGAATCCCCAGCAGCCTACGTCCATTGCAGCATAACTAAGGGAGGATTCAGCGTCACCTGGTCCAGCCCTAACTATATGCTTTAGCAAAAAGGAAAGTTTGAAGCTTAATCTTGAAAGTAGAGATAGTGTCTGTCTCCTGAATCCAAACTGGAAGCTGGTTCCACAGAAGAGGGGCCTGAAAACTGAAGGCTCTGCCTCCCATTCTACTTTGAAGTAAAGGTTTAGCTACAGCCAGCTTGAAGGCCTGTGGTACATAGCTGATTATTAGAGATAAGTTGATCATATTTAAGATTGAAGCATTAATTAATGGCAGGACTTCTTTGAGCAGTTTTGTAGGAATGGGGTCTAAAAGACACGTTGATGGTTTGGAGGAAGTAATTATTGAAGTTATTTTCTTCAATCAGTGATGAATAGTAAGATGTTCTGGCTTTGCGGAGGGCTTTCTTATAAATCAGCTCAACTATTTCTCCAGGCTAAATGATGATCCTCTAAATTTGTGACACGCCATTTCCTCTCCAGCTTACGAGTCATCAGCTTTAGGCTACGTGTTTGAGAATTATACCACGGAGTCAGGTACTTCTGATTAGAGACCTTAGTTTTCACAGGAGCTACAGTATCCAGAGTCGTACGTAGTGAGGAGGTGAAATTATTAACAACATAATTGACCTCTGTTGGGGTAGCGTTCAGATAGCTGCTCTGCTCTGTGTTGGTACAGGGCATTGAAGATGATAACAGTGGGTGGATTATATTCTTAAACTTAGTTACAGCGCTTTCAGAAAGACATCTACTTTGATAAAGTCTACTCTCCACCGCTGTGTAATCAATTATTGTAAATGTAAATGTTATCAGGAAATGATCAGACAGGAGAGGGTTTTCAGGAAACACTGTTAAATGTTCAGTTTCTATGCCATATGTTAAAACAAGATCTAGAGTGTGATTAAAGTGGTGGGTGGGTTCTTTTACATTTTGAGAGAAACCAATTGAGTCTAATAACAGACTAAATGCCATGTTGAGGCTGTCATTTTTAGCATCTACATGGATGTTAAAATCACCCACAATAATTATTTTATCTGAGCTCAGAACTAAACCAGATATAAAGTCTGAGAAATCAGACAGAAACTCTGTGTAAGGCCCAGGTGGACGATAGATGATAACAAGTAAGACTGGTTTCTGAGTTTACAGCTGGGGTGGACGAGGCTAAGCATCAGGCTTTCAAAGGAATTAAGTCTGTCTGGGTCTTTGGTTGATTAACAGGCTGGTGTGAAAAATTGCTGCCACACCTCCCCCTCGGCCTGTGCTTCGAGGTTTCTGGTAGTTAGAATGACTCGGGGGTGTTGATTCATTTAAACTAACATAATCATCCTGCTGCAACCAGGTTTCTGTAAGGCAGAGTAAATCAATTTGTTGATCAATTATTAAGTCATGTACTAACAGAGACTTGGAGGAGAGAGACCTAATATTTAATAATCCACATTTCACTGTTTTACTCTTTGGTTCAGATGTGGATACTGTATTGTTCTTTCTTTGTGATTGTTTATGTTTAAGTTGTTTGTTGCTGGTTTTTAGTTTGTTTTTTGTCTGTTTGGAAGCTGACACAGTCTCTATGGAGATGGTTTGGGGGGTAGCAGGAGGAGAGAAGCTGCAGAGAGGCGTGTAAGACTGCAACTCTGCTTCCTGGTCCCAACTCTGGATAGTCATATTTTGGGGGGTTTAATAAATTTGTCCATATTTCTAGAAATGAGAGCTGCTCCATCCAAAGTGGGATGGATGCCGTCTCTCCTAACAAGTCCAGGTTTCCTCCAGAAGGTTTGCCAATTATCTATGAAGCCCACATCGTTTCTGGGACACCACTCAGACAGCCAGCAATTTAGGAGAACATGCAGCTAAACATGTCACTCCTGGTCTGATTGGGGAGGGGACCAGAGAAAACTACAGAGTCCCACATTGTTTTGGCAAAGTTACACACGATTCAATATTGATTTTAGTGACCTCCGATTGGCGTAACCGGGTGTCATTACTGCCGACGTGAATTATGATTTTACTGAATTTACGTTTACCCTTAGCCAGCAGTTTTAAATTTCCTTCAATGTCGCCTGTTCTGGCCCCTGGAAGACAATTGACTATGGTTGCCGGTGTCTCTAGCTTCACATGTCTGAGAACAGAATCACCAATTACCAGAGTTTGACCCCGGCGGGTGTGTCGCCGAGTGGGGAAAAACTGTTAGACACATGAACGGGTTGGTGGTGTACCTGGGGCTTCTGTTTGGGACTATGCTTCCTCCTCACCGTCACCCAGCCGCCCTCTTTCCCCAGCTGCTTGGGGTCTGCCGGGGAACAGCTAGCGGGGCCTACGGTATCTTCGGCTGCACCAGCTACAGGGGCCTGGCTAGCTACGGGTGAATGAAGGGTGCGAAGCCGAGTCTCCAATTCAGTAATCCTGGCCTCCAGAGCTGCAAATATGCTACATTTGTTACAGATATCATTACTGCTAATGGAGGCCGAGGAGTAACTAAACATCTGACACAATGAGCAAGAAAGTGCAGGAGGGACAGGTGAAGTAGCCATGGTGCTAACGAGTCGGCTACAAGCTAAGCTAGCGAAACCATAAAGACACAGGGAGTGTGCTTCGGATGAAGCACATGAAGATTATACTATGAAAAAGAATGTATTTAAAAGGTTTTAATTAAATTGCAGATAAGCTACTCAGAAACACCACTGTGTGTTTGAGCAGGAACAGGAAGTGATACTCTACCGCAGAGCGAGCGAACACCAGGTGACGCGCTCATTCAGCCCAGTGTTAAACACAAAGAGGCGGAGCCATTACCGACTCACTGAGCTCAGGTAGAATGAAAGAAACAGCTGCTCGAGTCCTTCATCAAACTGTGACGTGAAGTAAAGCTCCGCCCACCGCTGCACACACAAATCTGCAGATGATCGGAGGCGTGTTTAAAACGCTCACGGGGGGATGGGGTGTACCACGCCATATTTATTTTCAAGGATTTCTGAACAGTTTTCAGGTTGAGAGTGAAATGTTAGTTACATTTCATTAAAATATAAAAATAAACTGATGGTGGTCGGGTCAGTCGACGCCATCATAACATCAGAAACACTTCAGAACGCTGACACGCTCGCTGTTGTACATCACAGACACGGTGTACGTCCATAAAGGCACCCATATGGAAAAGATATATATAAATCTTATAAAGTTTTTATTTGTCTTGTATGAAACTTGTATGAAAAGCATACAAGAGTGAAAACAGATATAAGATCCCTTGAAAAATTATACAATGAAACTTGTATGTTTCGTATACTTACTATATTGGGGTCTGCCGGGGAACAGCTAGCGGGGCCTACGGTATCTTCGGCTGCACCAGCTACAGGGGCCTGGCTAGCTACGGGTGAATGAAGGGTGCGAAGCCGAGTCTCCAATTCAGTAATCCTGGCCTCCAGAGCTGCAAATATGCTACATTTGTTACAGATATCATTACTATATTTTTACTCATGATTTACTTTCATGAGTAAATCATGTATGTTTTTACTATTTCTTTTCCATATGGGCACACACATACACGCCGTGTGAGTATTTGGACGCTGCAAGGATAAAAACGATTGGTCACTAAAGCTCTGGATGTCTGATCGGCGGCCATGTTTAAAACTGTCGTCTGTGCAGGCGGTGCGAGCAGACGCCGCCCTCAGCGTGGCGCAGGCGCAGCACCTGCGACAGCAGCAGGAGGACAACAGCTGCAGGGACTGGGCGGAGGTGCTGCAGGCCCGGCTGATGGAGGAGCAGAGGAGTCGTCTGCAGCTGGAGGAGGAGCTGAGGCAGCAGGAGCAGAAGAGCAGCTCTCAGATCAGCACGAAGCAGGTGGGTCAGAGGTCAGAGGTTACCCTTTTATGAGGAGAATGATGACCGCTGCCCGCAGCAGCGACAGGCCGTCCCTCTCACTGCATTACAGCTGTCACTTCCTGTGTGTGTGTGTGTGGCGTTTAGGATCAGTACGAGAAGGCAATGGCGGCGCTGCAGCAGAGGGCGGAGGATGTGGAAACCAAACTGAAGGCGGTCCGTCTGCTCCTGCAGGAAAAGGTGGAGCAGCTTAAAGAGCAGGTGAGCGTTGGCGCCGCTTCTCCGCCATTCACAAACGTCCGGTCGAACTTTGACCCGTTGCCGTTTTTCCCACAGCTGGCGAGGAACGCCAAGTCGAGCGCACTGCTGAAGGACCTGTACGTGGAGAACTCGCAGCTGATGAAGGCGCTGCAGGTCACCGAGCAGCGGCAGAAACGCGCCGAGAAGAAGAACTTCCTGCTGGAGGAGAAGGTCGGCGCGCTCAACAAGCTGCTGAGGGACATCGTCCCTGCATCGCTCGCCACATAACCATGCCAACGCAGAGCAGAAGGCCCCAGCAGGAGGGGGCGGGGCCTCACCTGTGCCCTGTGTGGAGCAGGTGGATGTCTGGAGCACACACACGTTCGGTGTGTCAGTATTATCTTTGTTTATAATGAAACTTTTTTTTTATTTTTGCGTCATTGAAATAAAGTTTTAATGTCTCTGTGACTCCGCCTCCTCCAGCTGATTCACTTCCTGTCACATATCATGTTGTAGGAGTTACACAGCAAATCGCTGGTTTTCATTGTTAGTCTCAAACGATCAACATTGAAAGTCTGCGGTGTCAAACATGCAGCTCGGGGGCCAGAACCGGCCGCCTGAGCGCCTTGAGGCGACTTTTGTTGTGATTTGGCGCTATATGCTACATAAATAAAATTGAATTGAATTGCTCAGGTCCGGTGTGAGCTGTGAGGAGCGAGTGGGAGAAAGCCACGAGGACGCGACGGTCACGGCTTTAAAGCTTCAGAGCTCTGCTCTTTTATCTTTATGTCATCTTACCTTTATCTTTTTAACCAGACGTCCCGGCGACGCCGAGCTTCTGCAGCCAATAACCGCAGCGATAAACTCGATCAGCTGAACCTGAACATCAACATTTTATTTGATTTCAAAGTATGATTACAGGTTTACAGGTAACGCTTCACACCTGTGCTGACGTACACTCACTGGCCAATGTCATGATGATGTCATATCCACATGGACCAGAGTCTGAGGAAAACTTTCACCTTGTTGAATCTGAGACGCTCTGGAGGTCCATGATGGCATATGCCTGTCTAATCCGGTCTTTAAGTGATGGCGCATGAACTCTGGGTCCAAACTACTGTTTATTAAGGCTGTTGTGTTTTTAACATGTTTTAATGTTTTGTATCTTGTTCTGTTTAATCAGTGATCACTGTCGGCCTATGTTTTTAAACCCTTCTAATGTAACTACAGCCCATGCAGCAGTATATTAATGACTAACCTCGTATTGTGGATGGATTATCTCAGTTGTTCTCCTGACTGAAGTCTGGTCCGTTTACAGCATCCTGCCATGCGACTGCATTTGTCTCTAACCATCAGTAACCCTCATGTTAACTTTTATACAGTGGAAAGAAGTTAGTGTTCATCCTCCAGCTTCACTGTGAGCTTTTAAATAAAGTAGGCGGAGCTTGAAAAAAACAATTTATTATCCCATCAGAATAAAGGTGAGTGCAGATGTTTTCTAGCTGCTGAAACATCTGCATCGTCAGGACACCACATGCTCCAGGACGCCCTGACGAATCAGCTGCTCACATTTCCACCGCGGCAGGAAGTGCTGAGGACAGAGGAGACGTTACCATGACAACTTGAAACATTTCACATGTTTTTAAACAGTAGAAGAAGAAGAGTGGCATCCCGTCCTCACCTGGCTGTTCTTCTTCAGCAGGATCACAGTGCCGTCGTCAATCTCAAACTCGCCGTGGTCCTTGAGACACCTCACCTGAAAAACAAAGACATGTCGGCGTCAGTGCTACGAGGTCATGCTGCAGCTAAAGGTCAAAGGTCAAATGTCTCACCTCGATGTAGAGGCTCTTTGGAGGCTTCATGTCCTGCGTGATGTCCAGACCCTCATTGCCCCCCAGAGAGCGCATGAAGGAGGCCAGAGACTTCTTATACTGACTGAACCACTGCAGCTAAAACACACACACCTGTCAGCTGATTTGCCACACACACACACAAGAGCTACAGTACGCTCTGCTGCCTCTTTCACAATAAAAGCCCCCCCTGAAGTGAATTATTCAGGCTTTTAAAGTGAAAGTTTACAATAGCCAATAAAAAGAGCAACAGAGCATCAGCATCACCTGAGAGAAAACACAGGAAGTGATGTCACACTCACCTCCTCTGCACACATGTGGAAGCGAACATTGGCGGGCAGCACGCTGCCGTACTCCCAGCGCAGCGCTCTGATCCTCAGCAGCCGGTCGTACCTGCGACAAAGATCAGCAAAGGTCATTGAGGAGAAAGGTGAGGCAGAGAGAGGTGGTCACATGACTGCAGGTGTGGTTACAGGTAGGCAGTGACGCAGCGCTGGTTCCTCAGCAGGCAGCAGTGGCGCAGTTTGATGGAGGGAATCAGCTTGGCACGACCTTCGCTCTTCGCCTCGTTCCTGAAACACACGAACATCAGCTGATCAGTGATGCCGTCAGTCGCACCTGTCTGTGCGACACTCAGGTGCCAGAGAGGATGCTGGATGGGGTCCCGCTGAGCAGTTTGGGGTGGGCGGGGCCTTCATGACACTCTGAACCAGCACTCAGGTGGTGTTCCTCCTTTTTAGAAGGAGGTCTGGAGGATGTGCTCCAGCTTCAGGAGAATCACACTCCTCAGCCTCCCTGAGCCTGGTTCTGCTGGAGGTTTCTTCCTGTTAAAAGGGAGTTTTTTCTCTCCACTGTTGCCAAAGTGTCTGATCGAAGGCTGACTCGGTTTCTCGGTGTTACTGTAGGGTCTTTACATTTACCTGAGGCAACTGTTATTGGAAATTTGTTGCTGTATAAATACAATTTTATTTAATTCATGAGATAAAATTTTCATTGCATTTAGTATTATTTATTACTTTTATTGTAACATTAACTGTAGGTGGTTTTGGACCCAGTATCATTATTTTAAACTGAAACTGAGGCCCAAAGCTTCACATGGCTTCCTGTTTATTTGATACGGACTTCATGGGTTTTAAAACCTGCTATGAGAGGGAGGAGCGGGGTCACGGGAAGTGTAATCTGGTCATGGTCAGGTTAACAGAAACCTGGATCCAAACCCTCAGACCCTGGGAACCCTGAGGAAACCTGCACAGATCAGCCTGCTGTGGACTCACACGTCACTCTGGTTCTGCTCGTAAAGCGCCTCCATCTCCTGCAGCACCTGTCGCAGTCCATCCTCCTGAAACGCAGAAACCAAACCAGTTGTGAGTGAGGCTCAGTGACCTGATGGAGCAGCACCTGGTGGAGGCACAGACCTCCACAAAGCACCACTGACTTGTTATTACTCTACACACGAGTTTGACACCACTTTGATAATTCAGCATATGCAGGAAATGATTCACCACGAAGAGCCCAACATAACTAGATATTAACTGTGTGCTGCTGGCTGCACATCGATGTCGTTAAAACAGCCGACATGTAATGCAGTGCTTGTTATGTGTAAACATGTTTAGATGAGATCTCTAAGACGCGCGTAATTCTGTCCAACACTTTTCAGAGTCCGTTTTCTTAAATTCCCCTCATTGGTCTGTTGGTCAGTATTTGAATCATCCGACCTGAGCCGAAGTTTAGTCCTGTGTCTGCACTGGCTGACGATGTGTTTGCAATGCCTCACAGACCGATTATTCTGCTCTGGGCAGCAGGTAAATGTTAAAATATCCGGTTTGTGAATGGAGTCCGCTGCCTCTGAAAACCGGGTGAAGCCCTGGGTTTTCGCCGGGATCACTCACGTTAAACGCGGGCAGCTGTCCGTCGCTCATGCGGTGCAGCTCTCTGATCAGCTCGATGGCTTTTTCGCAGAACATCGTGGCACCTCAAAAACGAGCAGAATCCCGGCGAATCTCTCCGTTGGGCCGCGACACGCTCCTACTTCACCGGGCGGCTCACGTTCGCGGTAAAAACAATGTTTTGATCACGTGACCGTTCCAGGCGCAGCTCCGGAAGCCGCGTTGGGTCAAACCTCCGACTCCGCGACACGAAGCGGGCAGCTGCGATTCCTAAAAGCTCGGGAAGAGTCGGAGATGCGGTGAAGCGGCTTCATTTGAGCCCAACTCAGAGGTGAGAGTGAGCCGTGCTAGTGCTGGTGTCGCCGTGGGCGGGAAAGCCGTCATTTACCGTCAGATCTCAGTTCTATCCCGTAGCGTGACTTCCGGTAAGCGCAGCGGCTAAAAATAAAGCCGTCATCCCGACAGGAGCCTCTGACAACCGGGAACAGGACGAGCCGGACTCACTGGCTCTGTGTGAGTTCATAAAGCCGCCTTTAACGCACTTTCCGCCGCTTCTTCCTGGGTTAGCGTCACTGTTAATACTGCGTTCACGTTCCACCGGAAAAACGAGCTCTCTGCAGCAAAATCCCTCAAAAATAAGTCAAAACTTCCGGGGTGATCGTGGGTTTCATCCACGCTTCCAATCAAATACACATCACTCCAGCTGCTTATCAGGGAATTACTTGATCTTTGTGGTGGCTTCTCTTTGTGGGACTTATTTGATCCTCAGTGTCCTGATGTCGATTCATAAATGTTTTAGTTTGTGATTTTTGGGTGTGTGGTGTGTATTGGAATGAAATACAATGAATAAATCACGATAGAAGCTACTTAAATATTCCAACACAGAGACAGAGATCACAGCTTCTCACGCTTCACTTTGGTCACGTCCTTCTGGGCGTTTCTTGACTTTCCGAGCTGCCCCTGAGAGCCCCGTGCGCTTCCTTTTTTCTTCATTCTTTCTTTAATCCTCATAAACCGGTTTTGTTTTGATTGTCGTTGCTCCGACGCTCCCCGGAGGCCGTGGACGCGTCACTGTGCGCCCACGTGGTTGTGTTACCTGCGCTGCGGTTGGCTGCGGCAGATCTGCTTCAGATCAGCTGCTCTCTGCGGATCTCGGCGCAGGCACAGTGGGGACGCGGCTCCGTGCTCACCGGCTCTCAGCGCTCCGTCACCCGCACAGCAGCCGACGACGGGGGTATCCTCCGGTTAACATCCGCTTTCAATCACGTTTCCAGGCATGCGTAAGCGGACCAACTCGCAGACAGCGGAGCATGACAGCGGGACCACCGGTACACTGCTGGACAGCGACACGGACCTGAAGCAGCGCACCGACAGAGAAGCGGCAGGGCCCGCAGCAGGCGGCCGGCAGGGCCGGGAGCGGACCGGAGCATGGCCAAACCGTTCCGGAGGTGAGAGGCGGGACAGGTGCTTGTGATGCTGAAGCATCGCGTTATTTAGATGAAAATCAGTGTGATGTGAAGTGAATTCAGTTTCATAGAAAAAATATTTGTTTTTGCTGCTTTTCTACTCAAGTTTATTCATTTAAGAATAATCAGTGCTGAACAAGAGAGTGAGACAGTCAACAGCGATAAAGGTACAAGTACATAATGATAAGTCTGTGAAGGTTCTCAGTCATCCAGGTCATCGTAGTCAAAGGAGCTTGCAAAACAGAGGCGGGGTTTACGACACCAACTCTCTGCCATCTATAATCCAGTTCTGAGATCCTTCCCAGACGCCTTAACGCCCACTCACATCCTGGGCCATCTGACCTCAGGAATTCACATAAGGTGGGGCCAGGTTTCACAATGAACTCACCCGAAACTCTGGCTGATTGGGACCCACACCCAGTTTCCCACCTTGGCTCAGGCGATTAGAGGATCATCAGGGGGTCCTTTTGTCCCTCTGTGGGGGGAAACTCCCACTAGGTTTATATCTGGGACTCTCCACCATTTGACCTTAGAACTGAAGAAGCTTCTCGGATGAGAGGTGAAACGTCTTCAAGCAACTTAAAGAAGTCCAGACGCTTTTCTTTGCAAGCTCCTTTGACTACATAATGATAAGCAGCTCACATGTAAATAGAAATAAGAAGAAACAACAGTGAAATGGAAAGTTAAAAATTACACCTCGAATAAGAACATTTTATAGAAAATGCTTAAAAACTGAGTTGAATAAACAGCTTATTAAAAAACGTCACAGAGGAGACCAAAAGTGTCCCGTCTGGGTGATCAGAGCGGGGTTGTCAGCTATTTCCTCAGTGTGCTGGAATTTTGACCCTCGTGCTAGATCTGATTGTGGGGCGGCATTTCTGGTCCGACTGGTTTCACCGAGGCCGGCGAGCTGGTCAGACTGGAAGCTGCAGGTCGGACTGAATAAAGCAGCGCCTCGTTCAAAGCTCTGAAGCTGCTCTTTGTTTACTGCAGCAGGAAACTTTACATCGAGATGCCAAAGATATTTACCTGCCACAGCTGACACACTCACGCTGTCGCAACATCATCATCATCACGTTTAGTTTAACCGAGTCATCTGTGGTTACAGCCACAGGAAGTCAGCAGTTACAGCAGCTTCACTGAGAGACAAACAAACATGAAGCTGCTGTGATTCTGACGTTCTCTCCATCAGGATGACGCTGACACTTTCTGTGAGAGCTTCGTCATCAGGTCGGCCTTCATCCCGACTTTATTGTTGAGTGTTCGGTCACGGCTCAGAGCTTCGTAGGACCGCCTCCAGCAGCACATCACAGCTGGGGCTGAAGAAGGCTCTCAGGCTCCGCCTTCACAGCCGCCCTTTAATGAAGGAATTTAAAGAAAATACTCCAAAAAAACAAAGCGACTCTTTTCTGATCTTTAATACACGAAGAATGTCAGAGCCCGTTTAACCCCAGCTCGGCCTGTCAGGTCCACTCTTCTTCTTTGGTTTAATCCTGATTAGATCTCTGCAGCTCGCACGCCAGCAGGAGGTCACCTGAAGCACAGGTCAGGCCCAGTGCATCCTGGGACGTTGACGCTGTCGTTTTGGGCTGTTTGGTCACATTGAAACCTTTGAACAAACAACGTGAGCTCAGACCTTCGTCATCAGCATTTTATTGACTTTACAGGGCAGAAAAATGCGACACGTTTAAATATTTGGACGATAAATGATGTTAAAACGTTTTTGTCATCATTTCTTCTGTAAAATGATTTTCAGCTGTTTTAAGGTCAAGAGTTTTAAAACAAACATTAAAAACACGTTGAACTGTTTTCTGATTGGTTTGCTTACGCAGACACACTCTATCTCCACGGTGACCGTCACACACCTGTACACACACCGCCGCGGCGGCTCGTTAAAGCGATGGAGCGCCGACGGCCTCGTGGTCAGTGCTTAGTCACGTTGAAAGCGAGCGCTGCCGCCGCGTCTGACTGACCTCACGCACAGGCGAGCGCTAAAATGGCACCTGTCACGTGATGACGTCAAACAAGAAGAGGAAGTGACACGGGATCCGCCGTCTGAGCTCAGACGCCGACAGGAAGTGACCTTGCTGCTGCTGACGTGTGTTAAAGCTGTGTGTCACGGGTTTGAGTCCATGTGTCATCACTTCCTGCAGAATCAGCTTGTGAAAGAAGAAGTTCTCCTCCTGACGCCGAGTCAGCGTCTCGACCTCAAACACAGGTGACCTTTGACCTCTGACACACTTTTAAGGGAGTCACTGTGAAACACGTAGCAGCGTTTTATTATATCGAGTCAGCAGCACTGCAGGCGTTACAGTGGGAGTCCAGCTCGCCACGAACACGAGGATCCAGCTGTGGTGAGGAGGAGGTCCAGGTTAAAGAGGCGGGGCTTTAGAAGCTGTTTGTAGATAAAAACATTGATTTCCTGCTTATGTTCATCATTACAGCCACGATCAGACAGGAAGCTGTGTGTGCGTGCACGTGTGTGCGTGCACGTGTGTGTGTGCACGTGTGCGTGCACGTGCGTGCGTGCACGTGTAAACAAGCTGCTCTCAGGACAGCTGAAGGTCTGCAGACTCTCACTCATCAATGAATAATTCAGGTCTGCAGCTGCAGCGTCCTGTTACAGCAGCAATACCAATACAGCTGATCAGCTTACACACACACACACACACACACACACACACACACACACACACACACAGGGCTCAGATGTCACCTTCACATGTTGTCCTCATTCGGGTCCTGGGAGAAAGCAGCTGCTTCCAAACTTGAATAAACTTTATTTAAACGGTGGACGTGAGCATGCGTCGCTCACACATGTTGTGTGCGTTATTTTCAGAGTTGTGTTTCTTGCAGTTTCCAGGGTTTATTCATGTCTCGTGTCTTTGGCAGCTCGATCGTTGTCAGATGCAGATTAATGAATAAAAATGTAATAAAAGTCAGTCCTGTGTCGGGTCGACGGGCGGACGCCGACATAAACGCCACAGAAACTTTCTATTAATTACTGTGTTGTTAAAATGACCGGTCACATGATAATACAGTGAAACGTATATTTAATGTCAGCTGAGGAGTAAAAGTCACAATAAAAATCAATGTACAGAAAGTTCAAACCAAACAATCAGGTTTGTTTCTGTCACGTGTCCGACGATCTGCACGCCTGTCACACGTGTCACGCTGAACTTGTCACGTGTGGGTCATTCAGGATGTTGTGCTGTTTTTGTGTGTCCCAGTGAGTAGGCGGGGTTTAAATAAAGTTATTTTGAATGTCTGTGCTCAGGTTGGGTCTGGTGGGGAAGCTGAAGAGGGTGGTGTTGTGGCTGCTGCTCGTCTACGTCTCCATTCCCTTCATCATCAAGCTGTGTCCGTCCATCCAGGCCAAACTCGTCTTCCTCAACTTCGGTGAGTCAGCGTGTCCCGAATCGGCCAATCGGAGCGTCTGTGTGAGCAGGCGCTCCTTTATTTATTAAAACCTTTCGTTAACACGCAGTAAAAGAAACCTCGATGAATCGTTTCAGACCCCGGCCGCCTGCCCCTCCCAGGTCCTGCTCTGGTCGAGGTCTCTTCCTGTTAAAGGGAGTTCTTCCTCCCCACTGTCACGAGAGCTCCTGGGCTTCTTTTACCTGAGTGAATGACTAGTCTCGGTTAAAGAGCGTTCGTCGTCCAATCAGACGGCATCAAACAGTCCGTCTGACTCAGTGAAGTTTAGAAAACAAAGTGTTGGTCCGGTGATTGTCACAGACATCAGTCTGTCCACGTCACCTGCACAGGTGCACTGCAGAAGACAAAGTGCCACGCCCACATTTCTCCTTAAAAGGAAGGATGTGAAGGTGCAGCTCGGTTTCCTCGCGGTGATGGGGGGCTAAAACTAGCAGCGAGGCTCAGGTGGAACCCACACAGCAGAGGGAGGGGCTAATTACCGTTAACTTGTAATGATGGCAGGAAGCATTGTGACTGGCGAGGAACCCTGTGTGTCAGTGAGCAGTCATGTGATCAGTATGTGACCTTTGACCTCCTCCCCCTCAGTGAGGATGCCGTACTTCATCGACCTGAAGCGACCTCTGGACCAGGGATTGAACCACACACACAACTTCTACCTGGAACCTGAGAGCGGGCTGAAGATCGGAGTCTGGTAACACACTCACACACAGACACACACACACACACACACTCACACACAGAAACTCACACACAGACACACACACAGACAGACACACAGACACACCCTCACACACACACACAGACACACACACACTCACACACAGACACTCACACACAGACACACACACACAGACACACAGACACACACACACAGACACACACACACAGACACACACACACACACACAGACACTCACACACAGACACACACACACACAGACACTCACACACAGACACACACACACAGACACACAGACACACAGACCCTCACACACACACACACACACACACAGACACACACACAGACACACACACACACACACACAGACACACACACACAGACACACACACACACACACACACAGACACTCACACACAGACACTCACACACAGACACACACACACACAGACACTCACACACAGACACACACACACACAGACACTCACACACAGACACACAGACACACACACACAGACACAGACACACACACAGACACTCACACACAGACACACACACACACAGACACTCACACACAGACACACACACACAGACACTCACACACAGACACACACACACAGACACACACACACAGACACACAGACACACCCTCACACACACACACAGACACACTCACACAGACTCAGAGTTCACCCTGAAGTTACCTGGATAAGAGGAAATCCTGTGGGCGGTGCAGACGTGACCATGAGCCAAGGGTGGAGCTGGAGGAGTGAGGAGGAAACGAGCTTCCTGCTCCCGAGACCCAGCGTGCTTGTTTGTTTACATGTTTGTTTGTTTGTTTGTTTCAGGCACACGGTTCCTGCTCAGATGTGGAGAGAAGCTCAGGGGAAGAAAGGCGACTGGTACGAGTCCAAGTTTAGCTCCTCCCACCCCGTTATCCTCTATCTCCACGGAAACGCAGGGACCAGGTGAACCCCCGTCCCGGCCCTACCAGCAGGCACACACGCACACCTTTGTCATTGATTTAAATGTAGAGTTTGACCTTTGACCTCGTGTCTCTCTACAGAGGAGGAGACCACAGAGTGCAGCTGTACAAGGTGAGCACTCGTCTGCTGTTTGGAAACTTCCAGAAACCACAGAACTCTCATCGGGAACTCCTCGACCTCTGACCCTGATCTGACCCAGACCCTTTAAAGGGTCTGGGTCAGATCAGGGTCACATTTTCTGAGACACACGCATGTTTGGGGGCGTGGTTTAATCAGCTGAGAGTTTGTGGACTTCCTGTTTGTCACTGTTTTCTTTTGGCGTCTGTGAAACGCTCTCCAGCTTTCGATCTCTTTGATCTTATTGGCTGTGGACGGAGGGATGCTGTACTGACTGTGTCTGCCTGTTTTCCTTCAGGTCCTCAGCTCGTTAGGCTACCACGTGGTCACGTTTGATTACAGAGGTGAGAAACAAGCCGAGTACAGCAGGCGGACAAACACAGCTGGCACACCTGTGTGACCTGTGTGTGTGTGTGTGCACGTGCAGGTTGGGGCGATTCAGAAGGCTCGCCATCAGAGAGCGGGATGACATCAGACGCTCTCTTTATTTATGATTGGCTGAAGCGGCGGACAGACAAAACGCTGCCTCTTTACATCTGGGGACACTCTCTGGGAACAGGGTAACAACACACCTGTGTACCTGTTTCCTTTGCACGCACACCACTTACTGACCGCCCCTTTAAAGGTGACTCACTAATAGGGTGGCAGTGCTATAAGACCCGCCCACATGAGAACAGGAAAGGAGAAAACGGTCACGGCTCAGCGTGTGTCTAATGCAGTGGGTGTGGGTGGATGTTGGACAGGTGGTGTCTTAGTGAGGCTTTGAATCATTCCTGCCACACCTTTCCAGCTTTAGTCACGACTTCCGAAAGCCTTCTCAACATTCAGGCATCGAAACTGGAAATTAGCTCTAAAGTTTTATAGTTGGGGGGGGGTCACTGCTGCCCCTGCAGGACGCTAGAGGAACTGCAAGTTTCAGTCCCAGAGGTCGATCAGCAGCAACGAGGCTGAAGCAGATCCAAGGATTCCGATTTAATCCGAGTTTCTTTTCTTTCAGAGTGGCAACCAATGTGGTCAGACGGCTGTGTGACAGAGGTACACACACACACACACACACACACACACACACACACACACACTTCTCTCCTTAGTGTGTGTGAAATGAGGGCTGGCTCAAGACTTTTGCACAGCACTGTGTGGATTAAAAATAGCAAAACAGCAGATTGAGAACGACATTAACTAAAACTCCCAGGAGTTTATTTCTGGGTTTAATTGGAGCGTCTCAGCAGCCGAGGATTGTGGGAAACGTAGCGTCAGGTACTAATGATGACATCGTTTCACAGGAAGTCCTCCTGACGCGCTCATCTTAGAGTCTCCTTTCACCAACATCAGAGAGGAGGCCAAGAGTCACCCCTTCTCCATGGTAACACACACAGACACACACACAGACGCACACAGCTCCTGCAGGTGTGTCTCACAGTGCGTGTGTGTGTTTCAGGTGTACCGGTACCTGCCCGGCTTTGATTGGTTCTTCCTGGACGCCATCACTGCCAACAACATCCGCTTCACCAGCGATGAGAAGTATGTACCTCATCAAAGCTCCTCCCACGTGAAACGTGTTTTCGAGCGGCGCCCGGCTGCTCGTCAGCAGCTCGCTACGTCGTTTTTAAAAAGCATGCGGCTGTTTGACCTGAATCAGCGTGCAGAGCGCCTCCGAGCGTTTACTTGTTCTCGGGGTTCGGAGTAAATTCCTGAGTGGGTGGAACAGGAAACGTTTTTACCGTCTTTGGATAATTTTGGAGTTGATGTTAAATTGTCCGAGGAACATTTCGAGTTTCTCGTGAAGTTTAAACCGAATCGTTGATTTTTCACTTTTATGACCCGAGCAGGTCTGACGGATGGAGCTTGATTGTTTTTAGACGCTGATCCTGGATCTGCTCGTGCAGCGTCAGAGAACAGACTTTCATTACAGCTGCTGACCTTCGACCCTGCAGACTAATCTGGAAATATTAGCTCGTTATGTGTGTGTGAATATCTGGTGATTCACACACACATAACCCAAACAGCAGCACCTAGTGGCTGTTAGAAGAACTGCAGCCCCTGAATGCAGCAGAGGCGTTTAGAATAGAATAGAATAGCCTTTATTGTCATTGTACAGAGTACAACGAAATTGGAGTGCCACTCCCTTGGTGCAAGTTTCAATAATAAATATAAATGTAAAATATAAAAAGTACAATAAAATAATTGCAAGTACAAGTTTAATGTCCCTGAATGTTTGTGTGTCTGCAGCATGAACCACATCTCCTGTCCCGTGCTCATCCTCCACGCCGAGGACGACAGCGTGGTTCCTTTCCACCTCGGTAAGAAGGTAAGAAAGTGTGACCGAAACATCTCCACCAATCTAAAGAAATCCGTCAAGAACAAGTCTTATTCTTTAAGACAGCGGCCCCCAACCCCCACGGCACGGACCGGGCCGCGAGAGTTGAGGCTCGGGTGTGAAGTTTCTGGTTTTCAGGGTTTTTATCGTTAACTCGGTAGAACTGAAGCTAAAACGAAAACATTGGACAGATTTCTGCTGTATTGTCACGTTAATAGAAACCGGAACGTTTCATGTTTTTAAAGAACGTTCTGATGTGGACGGATCTGCTCCGGCAGCATTTATGCAACGCCAAATCACAACAGGGCGCTTTTCATAGAGCCGACGATCACACAGAGAGGAGCCAACAACCAGACGACCCTGTGAGCAGGCGCATAGGCGAGGGTGGGAGCAGGAAGAGCCAGGCTCAGGGAGGGTGGCGTCGAAGACGGGAGAGAGAGGCACGAGTTTCTGTGTGACCGATCTGTAGAGCCGCGCTGTGACGGTGTAGACCGGACGCAGCACGCCATTTTTCCTGCAGTAGAAGAAGAAACTGAGACTAACCCGCCTCCTCGCCCTCTCCCTGCAGCTCTACTCGCTGGCGTCGCAGTCGAAGAGCCTGAGCGGTCACAAGGTTCAGTTCGTGCCCTTCCCCGCCGCGCTCGCCTACAAGCACAAGTTCATCTACAGGAGCCCGGAGCTGCCAAACATCCTCAGGTAGGATCAGCTCGCGGTGATGTCACGGTGAGCCGCGAAACCGCGCTCACGCTGCTCTTTGTCTTCTCTTTCAGTGATTTCCTGGGCACAGCTCATCCCGTCGCACAGTGAGGACAGACAGGAAGTACTCGGATTACTCTCTGCACTCCACGACAGCCGCACCGCCGCGGCTCGTTTTGTCCTCGCATGACCTCGACACATCATTCCTCCTTCTGTTAGCATTCCTCCCACAGCCGCGCTCGCGTCACAGCACGCAGGGTCGCCACGGCAACCGATGCTTTTAAAGAGTGGTGACGTGGAGTTTTTAATATTTTTGTGTGATTGTGTCGAGTTTATCACTGGAACTTGTCTGAAGGCCTGTTACAACTTGAATTAAATATTATTTGTTTTATTTGTCTTCATTTATCAGTTCTGCTGTTTGTTTCAAAAACATCTGAAAATGTTGATGTCAGCATTTCTTACAATGACTGAAATAAAGAGATTTTTATTTTTCAATGTAAAGATGCAAAAATATCCAAAATTAAAGTAAATGTTAAATCATCAGATGAAAGAAAAAATGTTAACAAGGCAATTTTGACGACGAAAATCTCGTTTAAAAACAAACAAGCAGAAAACGAGTCGAGGACGAAGCTTTCTGTGTACAAAACATCAGGTTCATGTTTCTGTGGTGAAGGAAATAAAAACAGCAGCAGAAACAGATTCTGACGCGAAACCATTACCCACGAGACACCTGGGCGCTCACGCCGGGCCTCGAACAAGCAACTCAAAACCAAAATAACAACAACAATAATATTAATGAGCTCTGAGCTGATGATGATGCTCAGCTTCATCGAACACGATGATTTTTTTAAACTAAAAGAAGATAAAAAAATAAAGATTTAGTTTTACAAGCTGCTTGGTTCCCTGAACGCACCGCCACAGACACGCGCTCGTTAGCTTATTTATGCTGTAATGTGATTGGATAGTGAGTAAACAGCGCTCTCTCGCTGTTTGACTCAAAGGCACGATTCTGCACAAATATATCCACCTGGACGTACAGGCAAAATGCAAATGCTATTTAAGGTCTCCTCACAACAATGATAAGAAAAATAAACTGGGCCAATATAGCATGTTTGTTAATACAGAGACACATGTTACTGTGATCTCTGGTCTCCCACTCAGAGACACAGGTCTCCGAGTGTCCAGCATTCAGACCTGAGGACTCATGTGAGAGAGGAAATCTGCTCACACAGATATTAGAGCCAAACACTGTCAATAAGGCCTCTGCAATGTTCTGAAGACAGTTAAACGCGTCAGGTAGTGACGTCCAGCAGGTGAACATGCAGCTCCATGAACACGCACAGCTGTGGATTCCAGCTGTGTCCATAGTTCTGCAAACTTTGACCCCACAGAGTCGAGCTTTTCAGTTCAATCAGCTGCATTTCGATTAACTGGCATTAACTCAGCCAGTTAATGCGAGACAAACCAGCTGCTCATTAAAGCTTCTGGTTTGATCAGTCTCGAGTATACGGATGTATCCGTGTATTTCCGTGGTGCTGATGCTGAGCCGACAGCTGCTGAAGCATTTGAAGTGTCTGAATGTGGAAATTTCAACATCGCTTGAAAAAAAACTGCCAGCTAACAACGTCCCTCTGACCAGTAGACGAAGTTATTTTTAGCCAATTACAAGTTGAATCTGGTACTTGGGGTTGTTAGCTAAGATACTGTCATTAAGAAGCGGCACACCTAATGTCTCTGCGAGCTGATTTGCGATGTGCGCCGCTGGCCCGGCCATTTATTTTTTAATGCACCTGCTCAGATTAACTCACTGCGTGTCGTGTCCAGGGCTGGACTGGGACAAAAAAATGGCATTTTGACTGGAGACCGGCCCCCCAGGTATTAAAGCCATAAAGCTTTGAATGAAACAATGCTGTTGTGACAGTCCCATATGGAAAAGAAATAGTAAAAACTTATATGATTTACTCATGAAAGTGGCCACTTTCTCATTACTTTCATATATTGTTTTAGTATCCAAAACATACAAGTTTCATTATATAATTTTTCAAAGGATCTTATATCTGTTTTTACTCTTGTATGCTTTTCATACAAGTTTCACACAAGACAGATACAAACTTTATAAGATTTATATATATCTTTTCCATATGTACACTGTCTTGTTGGTATATTTGCTAGACCCGCCCCTGCACAGTTACCAGCTGTCAGCTGCTTAGAAAAGGATCCTGGTGTTATTTGTCTCTCAGAAACAGTTCATAACTTCAACTCATCCACGTGACCTAAAAGGTAAACCTGTTTCTTCATCACAGCTCTGATGATTCAGTAAGGACATCTCCTGGTTTCATCTTCATGTTTCCCTCTCACCACATATCCAAACCGACATCATGACCAGCAGCTTTACAGCTGTGGCTCCAGCAAACATCAGCTGATACTAGAAATTAATATTAAATAAATTCTAACAACAGCTGATCAAGCTTAAACGTGCTGCTGTTGTTTAGCGCGACATCTGCTGGTTTCCTCTTTCGGCGCAAAGTGATAAACAAACGAGAGAGACGATCAGCTGATCATTGATCAGTTTCATGATTGAAGTAGCAACAGGAGAGGGAGGGGGGAGAATGAGAGGAGAAGAGGCAGCTGTGCAGCGTAAAGATGCAGAATAAATCCAGCTTTGTGTCTTTTTCCATTCTAGCTGAAGTTCGGGACAAACTGTGTCTCTTCTCAGCTCAACACGAAACGTGTAATATTTTCTCTGAATGAGGGACCATTCCATTTTTTTAAGGAGCCGTTGGCAACTCTACTAACCTTATGAATAAAATAAAGTTCACTATCAGTAACATCATAGCACCCACCCAGCTGTATAAAAACTCCAAGCTGGCTAGAACGCAGTATGAGTTATTGCAACTGACAGTAAAAAGTCAGCAACATGAAAATAAACTCCACCTAAACTTGGTTTATATCTGACCCAGATAGACTGCAGCTCATAACTTCTTACCTGAAGTTCAGTTCACCTGATACTCGGACTGGCGGCTGCTTCGGGGCTCTCCTCCTGCCTCCCCTTCCCTCATCCACCTGCTGCCTCTGTGGAAGCCCCGTCATAGCCACCACCAAACAACTGACTTATTTCTACACATCGACCTGCATCTGGCCAATCCACCACCTCTCATTGTTCATGCCATTACAAAAAAAATAAGTCAAATAAGCCCGATGGCCAGTCCAGCTATGTTAACCTGCAACCAAATCTGCAGCTCCATACAGCAATGTTACGACTTAGATTATATCTTATAACTCATAACTCTTATGTTAGCTCCCTCAGTAGCATACTGTCTGAAATATTCCACAGCTGCAATAATTCTTTAAGTGTTGTTTTTTTCCTTGGTATTCTAATTTCACCGAAGTTTACTAAACTCAACAAACTTAATATTACTTACCGGGACATTTATTCTGTCCTCATTTTCTTTCACCGAAAAATTGTTTCCTGCAGTGACGTCTTTCGTGCTTGGCTCTCCTACCTTTGCTAACGTGATGCACATAGCGCAGAAGCCGATGCTGCATTCACTTACACTCGGATATCTGAGCGTCACCGTGAAAACATAATCGGACATTTGATATTTGATTGAATTTTATTGTTTTGCCTTTGGGGTGGCCAGTCTGGTTGGGGGTGGCCTGTGTCCCCCAGGCCACCCCGCTGGACACGCCACTGGGGCCAGGGCGAAGTCGTAGTCCCGGGGCGTGGCCACGTTCCGGTCCTTCACCAGCGTGAAGTGCAAAGTCTTCTTGATCTCTGCGACGTCCGCGAGCCCCGCACGCTGATCTGCTTCCGCCTCTCATGGTCGGTCAGCGGCACCGCCATGTTTCCGCTAAAGTACCCGGGTCACGGAGCGAGGGGAGCGAGGTGACCCGCATACAGTGGGAACGCCTGTAAGAACAGCCAGAAGAGTAGCTACGGCCCCGCCCACCACACCAACACGTGGAGATCGTGGGGCGGGGCTTTATGAGTAGGGGGCGGGGCAATCAGCGGTACATTGAAAAAAAGAGTCCGCAGCGCTTTTACTTTCATGCACCTGGCTCCGTGTGTGACTGGATCAGCGGCAGCCGTCACGGCTCTGACGTGTCTGAGCAGGACTGCAAGCTCGTGACGTCACACACATGTTTGAGGCTCAGGAGACACCTGGACCTGTGTGCTGGGCTCACCGTGAGTGGGAGGATTCTCACGGCGTGTTTAGTTTGAAATCACAGAATCTGCGCTCCAAAAAACAAAAGATGTTTGGGGATCTCATTTTCACCGAGGAGTGACTCCTCTTCAACTCACGCCATCTTTGAGTCTCTGCGTCATGACGTCACACCACGAGCGTCAGGGAACTCAGCGTGCATCCGGGTTTCCACAATAAAACGCTTCCTGTTCGAGCCGCCGCTGTGCTCAGGTGAGCTCCTCGTGCTCACAGGTACGCGGTGTGTCTCCTTAGTGTCCAGCGCGTGAGACCGGCCCAGGTCCACATCAGCGGGATCGAGTCCTCCTGTGACAGGTAGAGCTTCCACCTGCAGCTGGTTCCACTGGTTTTAATGGGAGTCCAGCAGCAGACACACGCGGAGGCACACAGTTCAAAACTTAAACTGGGTCTGAAGCCACAAGGAGCGCTGACCCCGCCCCCTGCAGCCCTCAGCTTCCTGCACGGTTGAAAACTCAGCAAGGAAAATCGCTATTGGCTGTCCTAAAAGTCGCTAAATGACGTCATCGCCTAATTTGCATAATTGGTCATGCTAATGTAATTGTAACGTTGTCGGAGAGAGAAATAACATCGTGGAAGAGACAAAGTGAGTAAAAAACGTCCTAAATGCAGTTAGTTTGTTTAGAACTACAAATTAAATTTCTTTTAGCAATTATTGTTTTTTGTAATGCCACAATTCCAACCCCGCAAAAGTGACCGAAGTAGGCACTCTGGTGGAGTTACAGTGTGTGTGTTTATAAGTAGTTTTAAACCTTGTGATCCACAAAACAGCATAAGAGTAAAAGAACTGACTGCGTTACAGTCAGTGCGGAGCAGCGGCTTCGCTCATGCGCGGTTCATTTGCAGTTTGGGCACACAGGTGTGAGCGTCTCCTGCCCTGATAGCAGCTGGGGGAGGACTTTCCTCCCCCCGTGAGCGCTTTGGCGCGGGTGAGGTGCCCACGGCAGCACCGCTGCTTGTTGAGAGTAAGAGCGATACGTGCTTTCAAGTCTCCAAAAACACCAGAAAGTCTCCAGATTTGTTGCTTGTCCCTTTTTAGAAAATAAAGTCGCTAAGGGGTCTGAAAAGTCACTAAATATAGGGACAAAGTCACTAAGTTGGCAACACTGGCTTCCTGCTAGGAGAAGGCCACTGAGGTCAAAGGTCTCCTGCAGATCAGCCACACTCTTCTGCAGGTGATCCTCCAGCTCATGAAGGTTTCCAAACTTTAACTTTCCCACAAAAACGTTTTTAGAGTTCATTTTGACACCAATGATCCGAACTCGCTCCAGACGAGTAGGAGAGGGTTTAGTGTGTGTGTGTGTGTGTGTGTGTGTGTGTGTGTGTGTGTGTGTGTGTGTGTGTGTGTGTGTGTGTGTGTGTTCCTGCAGTCAGGATGTCGACCACGTCTCAGAAGCACCGGGACTTTGTTGGAGAGCCGATGGCGGACAAACCTGTGACGGCTCTGTCAGGCATCGGAGAGACTCTGGGGAAGAAGCTGGAGGAGAATGGCTTCGACAAGGTACACACACACACACACACACACACACACACACACACACACACACACAGAGCACACGGCAGCTTCACTGCCGTGTGCTGTGTAGTCACATTGTAGTTCTGTTGGAGCATTTTAACGACCTCACATGACCAATAATGGCTGCTGTGAGGTACTAACAGAGCGTCCAAGAAGGCGGAGCTCCAGGTTTGGTACACGGTGAAATTCAAGGATTTTGATTGGATGTTACTGAGCACTGATCAGCAGGTTTCAGAGTCTGTGTGATGCTCCTGTGGGTTCTAGCATTAGCTGCTAACTGAGAGCACAAACATGGTCCACAGGTTCAGTTCAGGTGAAGCTAGCAGACAGCTAGCAGCTACAACTGCCTGTGTCACCCTCCACCTTTTAGGCAGACAGGCCACGCCCCTGATGGTGCAAACTGAAAGCCTGAATAGAATCCAAATAGCTGACTTATAAAGACCCTCTGTGCAGTTATCACAGGGGAAATTATCCACAGAGACTGTAACTGGACTGACTCGTGTGTGTGTGTGTGTGTGTGTGTGTGTGTGTGTGTGTGTGTTTGTTTTCAGGCATATGTGGTTCTCGGTCAGTTCCTGCTCTTGAGGAAAGACACGGAGATGTTCACCGATTGGCTCAAAGACTCCATCGGCGCCAACTCTCGCCAGGCCAGCTCCTGCGCTCAGTGCCTGAAGGAGTGGTGTGACGCCTTCCTCTGAGGTGCCGCCTCTTCACAAAAACCACACCTGCGTTTGCTCACTTCCTGTTTCGGAGGCTTCTGATGGCTCTGCTGTTGTTAGGTGTTTGAGGTGGACTTCCTGCAGGAGCGCTGTGATGTCACAGCGCTCTGCCAGGTGTCTGTTTACCTGTTTCACTGAAGAACGTTTACATGAATAAAAGCTTTGTCTCCACGGCTTGCTGTCTTCTTTCTGAGTCCACCATAAAAACATCGAAGCCTCCGTATGACAGGGTACAGCGCCACCTGCTGCTGGATTTGTAGATGTGTTTGTGTTCATCATCCTGTGACATCATGCACGTACAGTGACACAGATCAGCCTGAGAGACGCTCGAGGACGCTGACCTGCTGGTGCTTTCCCTGCCGCCTCCTTAAGTCCACCCCTGTTAGAAATGGCTTCAGAAGAGGGCGGTTCCTTTTTAACACCGGACAGGTAAGTTTGAGGAGCGCTTTGCTCTTAGTCCATGAACTCATCATTTAAGAACTTTGTCTAATATTAAAAGTTGTTTGAGGATGTAAGAAAACGGATGCTGTGAACTACAGAGTCCAGCGTTTGTGTGTCGGGCTGTGAACATGCTGTGAGGCTTGAACACGGAGGACTCGGCTTCATCATCATTACTGTTCTCAGAGCTCTGACGCGATGAGCCGCACACAGCCTCTTTAAGCTCCTCCCACAGAAGGGAGGCTGCTGTTCAGGACCAAGTTCTTAAATTCATCCTCGTGTTCTTGTCGCTTCCTATCTTTGGGTGAGAGCGCGGATATCTGACAGCAGGTGAGCGTCAGGTTTGTTTGCACCTGAACACCTGAACATTGATTTGGAAGCATGGTTAAATATTGTTGATGCTCGTTTTTAGTTCAGTACATGGAATAAATCACTGGTTTGGAGAGGATGATGATTCGGTGCTTATCCAAGGCTGTGTGACACATTTTATCATCTGATCCTGTAACTGCAGCACAGCTTCCACATGTTGTTCTTGAAAAGCTGTGAACACACTGCTTTTAAAGTGTCCACAGTCTGTTTCTTCTTATTTCTGGATTATTTATGGTTGAGAAAACAAAACCATGTTTTCAGTGTTTTGTTTTTTTTTTACAGTCCCAGGTGTTTGTAAGTTAAAGACCCTACAATACTGTCCCACCGAGGGGCAGCCATCTGCTGTGTAAATCTGGCAGTGAGGCCAAAGACGAGGTTCAAAATCCATTTTTGGATACTGGATCCAAACATAAACGTCCAGGTTCCCGTTCTCAGACCTGGGCTGTTCCTCCAGCTCCAACAGCGAGCTGAACCCGCCAGGCTGTCTCCCTCAGGGAGGCTCTGTCAAGTCCTGACCTCATCTCTAAGGCCGAGCCCAGCCACACTTCAGGGACCATAGCTGAGGGTGGAGCTCGCCCAGTCACTCCCCTCACTCGTGAATTGATTAAATAATCAAGAGAGCTCCGTGACGTCTGCATGAACAGGACCCATAATAACTGTGGTAACGTCAGGGACCGAGCAGAAAGGACACAGCTGCTTCAAAAAAAGGGATTTTATTGACCCCAAAATATGAAAATCTATTCAACACAGCCAAAAAACTTCAACAGGCAGACCAATAAAAGAGTTCAACTCAATAAACTAAACTCAAGATTAACAAAACCTTCTGTTTGCTGCTCAGGATGCCGATGATCACTCAGAAGCACCTTCGTCAGCGACCCGTGTTAGAGAAACTAGAGATGAATTATATAACGTTAAATTAGTGTTAAACAAATGATTAAGTTTACTTCAGCCATATTCCATATAAATCAGGTATCATACAAAAATAAAAATAGTCATGACAATAAAAGACTTTCAGGACTTATACTACACCAACATCTGTTATACTTTGGCACTAAGGGAACACTTGTCCCGATCAGATCAGTGAGCTGGGATCTTTTATTCTGAACATGAACTACTGTTACAGCAACAGACATGGACACAACTCAATGTCCACTATGTGAAGGAGCCGAACACATGCCTGCTCCTCTCGCTGACTGAGATAAACTGCTGCCATGTTTGTTTTCCATCTATACTGTCCAGTCTCTGCTGGACGTGGTACAGCTTCTGTAAACTAATGTCCTGGCTGCTCGAGGCTCCGTTTTCTCTGACAGTTTCAATCAAAATTAGAAACGATGCTCTTGTGACCCGTGGTAGGTACCTATTTAAAATAGGACAGAGCCGTAGGCAGGGGCGGAGCGTGGGGGTGGCTTACGGGGCTTAAGCCCGGGTTGTTTTGTCAGAAGCCCGGGGTCTTTTGGAGTGTAATTTTTTCATAGTTAGATGTCTGGCTGACAACTGTATAAAACAAAAAGTACACACAATATTCGAAGCACATAGTGCACACTGTGGGAATTTACGACTGTGCGTGAATCCCCTGTATGGTATGATCCGAGCTCAGGCACTAGCGACTGAGCGGGGGGCGGGGCAGCTGCTGCCGTGAGTGCGCTGGAGAGACGGAGCCAGCCATACTAGGAGAGCTTAAGTTTGAGCAGGTACCAAAGAAATCATTCGTACCGTACAATAATGTAAATATGACGGTGCATCCGAAGATTGATATGAAACTGATCACTTGACAATATTACGTTACTTGCTCTTCAAGTGAATCAACAAATGGGCAAATGAAAGCGAAAAATGCATTTTTTTTAGAGTCTTAGCTTACGTGTGTTTATTTCATATTTCAGTTCTTACCCTCCCGACTAATCGGTTTCAGTTATGTACGAATATAAGAATGGACTTAGAGGCTTCTTTCAAAGAAAACTCAGGTAAATGTTATTTTATATATTATGCTTTGGTATGTTGTTCAGTAATTCTATGCAAAACAAGAGGGGTTTCAGTACACAGCAGGATTTACATTTGTAACCAATATTACACTTTAGGGAGAAACATAAAACATTTTTATGTAAACATCAATTTAGAGTAACTTTTGTTTTAGATAAATATTGAAATATATTTTGAATTAGTAATTTCAGAATAAAGAGGACAGAGCTATTTTTATCACTTTCCATCAAATTAGGAGTACATGTACACTAAATTATTGTTATTAATAAGAAACTCCAGACGATTCGATTCTGAGCTGAAGAAGCTTCTGATGGTTGTAGAGTCCATGTGAGTAATTGGTGGCACAGCTGTGGATGCATATAAGCAAACACAGAGCCTGTTCTTTGAATGGGAAAATCAAGAGATGTCAACCAAAACACCAGGAAAAGAACTGTGGACTCATAATGTGGCTCAGTTGAATACAATTTGGTGCATTTGCATTAAGAATCAGATATTTTCTCTTTCTCTAAGTTAACAAATATGTTTTTTATTTTCATCTAAAAATAAACATTTAGTCTGATTTGATGTTAATTAAAAAGTGTTTTTATTGAAGAGTAATATCTGGTTTCAACTGTATATTTGATGATTGTCAGCACAAAGAGGGAGAGAGAGGAGAGAGGGACAGAACAGATGAACAAGGCAGGTGAGACACAATGTTAGTCAAATGGTTGTTTACAAAAGTATCACGTATCAAGGTCCTCATGTATTCGTACCTAGTGTTTCTTTTTAGGTTTGTTATTTTTCAAATTCTGTATTTATAAGTTCTGCAGCTGTTGCACAACAAGACTAAATAATTATATAAACTTTTCTCAATCTAAATATTGGACTTTGGTAGAATTAAAAAATGTTGTGCAGGTCTATGATGATTTTAGTGCTATCATCTAGTTCTGATTCTGGTTCTGTCTTGGTTAAGTCCTCAGTAGTCCTGATTTTGAACTATTGTAGTCCTGTTTTAATTCTGGATCAGTTCTGGGTCTGGTTGAATTGGGGTTTAGTCCTCGTGTCTTGATGCAGCCCTGACCTTGTTCTGCCTTGCTGCTTAATTAAAAAACTAGTTTAAGGTGTCTGCACATGTATATATATTTTTCCCTATATGAAGTCATTCTTTTTGAACAAAACTCAAAACAGAGCCTATTAATCTTTCAGTCATTTCTACACCCCCCCCCCCAAAAAAAAAAAAATCCCACATGCATACTACTCTTTGGGCTAAGCCCCGGGTGTTTCAAATGTCTGGCCCGCCTCTGGCCGTAGGCGCACAAAGGGTTTAATTTTTAATACAAAATAAAAGTAACAGTATAACAGCTGCACCTAAAAACAATTAAAAACTTTACTTTATTGAAAACGATAAAACTGTATGATTGCCCGTGAGACAGGGGAACCGGGGAAGCGTTTAATAACAAATCGACACAACACGCACATTAAAAAGGGACGACAACTCACACATAACCCCAAATGGGGAAGACACTCTAGGAAAAGAGAGCAAAGCTTCAGTGCCGTCTTCACTCGGGCTCACCGCAGCAAAACGCGGCAGGACAAAAAAAAGGATTTGTTTTCCACGCAGCGCCTTCACCGTCTGCAGCGATATCCCTCTCTCCCTCTCTCCTCCTCTTCCTCCTCCTAAATGAAAACAATAATGGCCCAGAATAGATCCCTGCATACCCCCATGGCAGAGGGACCAGAGAGGATGAGGCCAAACCCAACTTAACGCAAAAGCTCCTGAGAGATATGATTTTATCCACGAAAGTGCCCGGCAGGATATTCCTACACAATGCTGTAATCGAGAGATCAGCAGGTCGTGATCCACCGTGTCGAATGCAGCAGTCATATCCAATAGAACAAGCACTGCATGTTTACCACAGTCCGTTGCTACCATAATGTTGTTCACGACCTTTATGAGAGCCGTCTCTGCGGGTGAAACGGCTTAAAGCTCAGAGGTGGGTCTGAAGTCATAATGGAAGTGTGTGAGCCTGGTTTCTTAAGTTGGGGATGGATAACTGCATGTTTAAACTCACTCAGTACTTGACCTGACAAGAGGATGGTAGTGATTATGTTCAGAACATGTGGTCCAACAGTAGGAAACACTTTGGTTCCTAGTTTGTGAGCAGAGTGAAAATTGAAGTGTGTTCCTCACCAACAGGGGGCAGTGTTTACCACACAGTGCTGCCTGGTTTCCTTGTAAAGCAGCCGGGTGTCCATCAGAGAGCTGCTTATCCCTGCACGGCTCTCTAAAGAGGGTTTTCCCTCGATTGGAGCCTCAGCTATTAGGCAGCAGTATTCCTCCCAGCAGGAAGGACCTGTTTGAGCTTCCATGAAAGCAAAACAGAGGTAATATATCAGGCCTAATAATACCTCACGCAGCCCGCTTATTAATTATGGTTGGCTTGGGTCACTCATCAAACAGCGCGTCCCAAATCTGGGACACATCACTCGGAGCTTAAATTTAACAAACAGATCACTTCTGTGTTGCCAAAAAGCGTTTTGCAGTTAAGGCAGTTTTGTCAGGGCGCAGCTTGGAGAAACTCGGCTTGACTATTGTAACGCACTTTACAGCCAAGCGCCCGTCTCTTAACTGCCCATACGGAAAAGAAATAGTAAAAACTTATATGTGATTACTCATGAAAGTGGCCACTTTCTCATTACTTTCATACATTGTTTTAGTAAGTATCCAAAACATACAAGTTTCATTATATAATTTTTCAAGGGATCTTATATCTGTTTTCACTCTTATATGCTTTTCATACAAGTTTCACACAAGACAGATACAAACTTTATAAGATTTATATATATCTTTTCCATATGGGTGGTACTATCCTGTCCTCCTTCATCAACTTCCTGTTTATCACAGAATTCATTTCAAAGGCCTAACGTTGGCTTATAAATGCCTCCATCCCTTTCTGATGTACTCCAGCCCCGTGTTCCCTCGCAGGCCGACCAGCTGCTTTTGGTTGTTCCAAAATCCAGGTTGAACTTTATGGGGAAAAAAGCTTTTTCAGTTGCGGCGCCCAAACTTTAAGTATATGACACACTTCCTGCTTTTAAGTCTCTTTTGAAAACATCTTTTCCCCACCGCGTTTGGAGCGCTGTGAGTAGATGTGCTCTTTTTATTTTATGTGAGCAGTTTTACCATTTATCTGTTTTTTGTTCAGTACTTTAGGAAAACTTATGAATAAATTGGATCTGAATTTGATGGCTCGTACGCTGCAGCCGAGGATTCGCTCGTGCGCAGAGATCCCATCAGACCTGATGGCGTTGGACTGAGACGCCGCTCCTGCTGCGGCGATGCTGACGTCTCAGGAAACGACTGAAGAACACTTTCACGCAGCTCTTCGTACGAATGACGCTGAGATGAGATGAAATCATCTTTGAGGTTTCTCATTAAGTGATTTAGTGTTCGAGCTCCTCTGTGGGAACTTTTGGGACCAAAACATATTTTCCTGTGAATCAAATCTCAGAAATCAGCTGATTTTCAGCACAGAGCAGGTCAAAGGTCGTCCAGGTGAGAACATGATGTACAAACGTAAAAAGTGCATCTTTATTCGTTTTCATCAGTACAATAAATAAATGTTTTAGTCAAGAAAAAAAAAATAGAAAATAACAAAGAACAGAATTCTATAAAAAGCCGTACAGCGACTGCAGACACAGGAAGACGTCTCTGTAAACCGTCATCAACGTTCATCCCGACACTCAAACAGGTAAACGTCACAGGAAGTGTCAGACGTCTCCAGCAGCCAATCAGGTGCCTTCATAGGTCAGGTAAACAAAATGATCAATAAATAGATTTTAAAAATGGAGGGGTTCTTCTGTTTGTCAGCGGACGAAGGAAAAGTGAAATGAGAAAGGATGGAAAAACCTCCTGATCACGTGTTCACGTATGTAAACGCCACAGGAAGTGAGGTCAGAACTTGAGTTTAAAGGGAGCTGAGGTTAAGGACCTCCTGCAGTTTCCCTCCGTTACAGAGAGCCCAGCGCTGCCCAGTGTCACCGAGATGGACCAATCAGAGCAAATTACTGCTCTTACATCAGCAAACAGAGGAAGACACCAGGACGTCTTTAAACGCCGCGTGTCATGTGAAAGCAGGAAACCTGGTTTTCTGAATCTGCAGCTCGCCAGCTTGATGCTCCTCTTCATCTTCATCTGACCCTGAAAATCTCCCAGCATCCTCCTCTCCAAGCTCGTGTGTCACAAACCAGGAACTCTGTGAGGATTCATGAAGCTTCAAACATGCAGTGAGTGAAAGAAACCGTCTGTGCTCCACCCGGATGAGCGAGGGCAGGTGTGGTGAGCAGGTGGAACCAGTGGAACCAGTGCGAGGAGGAATGCTGGGAGAGGCTGGATCAGTGCTCGGGGGACATTCCAGCCTGATGACTGAAGAGGAGGCTGAAACCAGCCCTCATCATCACTGAAACACGGAAAGCATCAAAGGGCAGATAAACTATGAAGTTATGTGTAGCTGTGTGTTGGCCCCGCCCCCTCACAGTGTCGTTCACAGGTTTTTCCATCCTGTCCAGTAAAAACTGGTAAAAAAAAAAAAAAAAAAAAAAAGGTCATGTTCTAGCAGCTTCAGTTTTTAACCTCCTGGCTGGTTCTGCTGGTTTTACTGGGTTTTGGTGGTCTTGGCGTCGGGGCGCAGGTACGTCTGGTAGAAGAAGTTGGAGAAGAGCAGCAGGTAGCTGAAGTACATGAGGGCGGCCCAGACGATGTTGTCCAGGCTGGAGGGGCAGTCTCCCTGCTGCATCCAGCGGTACACCAACGCGCTCACCGCCACGCCCATCGCCATCTGAGCGATCTGAGCGCTGGTGATCAGCACGGCAAAGGGGCGGGGCACGCGCAGCCCGGCGGCACGGGCCGCGTAGTAGCTGTACATGAGCGCGTGCACGGTGTAGTTCATGGTCATGAACCAGCCGCCACCGGCCACCATGTCTTTGTAGGAGTACCAGGAGTAGAGCAGCACGGTGATGTGGTGGTACCAGTGCAGGAAGAGCAGCTTCTGCTTCCTCAGCACGATGAACGCCGTGTCGCCTGCAAACAAAGCTCACGTTAGTCACACGTTTCATCTCGGCGCCGCTACAAGGCTATAAAAGCTAACGCACTGACCGAGCTCTGGAGCCTTGCTGAGGACGAAGGCGTACGCCCAGAACTTGCTGACCGGGCCATTGTAGAAGCTCCGGTCACAGATGGACTGTCTGAAGCCGTTGGAGCTCAGGATGTGGAACATGTAGGGACCGGTCCGGATCGCCCCGATGATGCTGCAGAGAACCGGAAACAAATCCATCAGAGCACAGAAACAAGGACACGAGCAGAAACACGGCGTGGCCACTCAGAGCAGCACTACCCTGAAGACGCCCTCAGCGTGTGTGCGTTTGTGTGTCTGTGTGCGTTTTGGTTCTTACTATCCTGGTAGGGACCAGAATCATTTTTCACAAACTGTGGTTTTAGGGTCATAATTGGGTCATGGTCATGGTTATGTAAGCTTATAGCTAAAGCAGTAGGTCAACCCTAACCCAGGAAAGCAAACTGTTGTGTGTCTGTGAGGAAGTGAGGCTCCTTTTAAAGGTTCATTCTGCTGATTTTAATCTTTGTGTTTACAGCAGCTTCATGTTTCCTGACAGCGGCCATGACTCCGCCCACATCTCTATTGTTCTCACACAGGTGAAAAAACAAACACACCTGAGCCGCAGGTACCTCTGGAGCAGGTTACCACGGGGACAGCATGCTGGCTGTGCACAAGTGTTGATTCAGCAAGAATGCAATGCAAAGCATGCCTGTGGTTACCATGGAGACTGTCAGTGTTTCACTCTGCAGCGTCTCTACGAGACTGAAGGAATTTTCTCCTTTGTTGAAAACACCGTACAAGCGCGTGCATGCCCCGCCCACCCGGGATTCACTGCTTTGAGAGTTTCGTTCATTTGTAGCCTGACGGTGTGATCAGTGACATCACTGAGAGGACTGAGTCCCGCCACGATCGACACTGACAGCTCTTTTATGGTGATGTAGTGGGAGGAGCTTCAGACCATCACAGCGTGGCTGAACGTCTCGTTTTAGGTGTCACTTATGCGTGGTTAACTCTGTGAAGGTGACCAATCACAGAGCAAGGAACGAGTCCCGCTGTCCGTGGAGTGCGTGTGAGTGTGTGCACGTGTGAGGAGTGTTACCTGAAGATGGCGAGGCTCAGTGACCAGAGGATGAGCGGCCGGCGCAGGTTGAGCTTGGGGCGTGTCTTCATGTAGTGCTGCCCTCCAAAGACCAGGGCGACGTACAGCGCGCAGAACACGAACGAGCTCTTCCTGCAGGAGCAAACACTCGTTTAGTCCGGAGCTTTTTTGGATTCAGGGGAAAACATCATTTGTTTTGGTGGCAGCAGAGTTTCCTCACGAGCCTGAAGGTTACATAATTTTTAAATACAGCAGCTGGCGCATGCGCATATCACCGAGTGTGTTCCTATCACAGTTATGAGCAAGTCAAATATTTCACGTCGCATCATGCGCGTCGCTCGCGGAGGGCTCGGCAGGGCGGGACGAAAGCAAATACAACCGTGACGTCACTGGCCAAGCAGCTCACCTGCGGTACACCTGCGTGTGCCACTGACCACACGTCCTTACGTAAGGCTCTGGAAGTTTCTCGGCAGGTGTGTACCCGGAGAAAGTATCCGTGCGTGCGCCCCACCAAACCCCGTTCAAAAACAGTTCGTTTCTGCGGTTCCTCCCGGTCTGCGCTTAAAGCGGCTTTTAAACTGAATGAGTCCGAGTGTCGTGAAAAACCCACACCGCCCCATCTATCCCGCTATCACGGCACACAAATCACGCTCTCTACCGACACAGAGCTGGTCCTCCCGGTACGTGCCGCTACCGGACAGGTGAGACACTTTTGGTGAACCGGATCGGGGGGATTCCTGGGTGTATCCCGAAACCAAGGCTGTACCCCGAGTGTCCCAGTAAAACGAAGAGCACCTTTAAAAACGCAATAACTTTACAAAGTCGAACCTTTTACATGACAATCAACAGGATGGATTCTCATTTAATTTAATTGATTTAATTTAATTTTGCCGTTTTTCGAGATGACGCGTCCGGTCCCGGAGAAACTTGCCGGGACCGTCTCGGGGTTTCGGTCCGAAGCTGAAGCGGGACTCACCAGTTGGCCTGCATCCACTCGATCGCTCCCCGCTCGTCGAAGCGCCGCTCGAAGCTGTACTCGGACAGCCGGAAGTCCGTCCCGTTCACCGGCAGCATCTCTGGTTCTCTCAGACTTCAGTAACGACGGCAAAGCGAGAGGACGCTCGGAGCCCGCCTGCAGTCTGTCCGCTCGCCTCTCTGCGGCCCTATTAAACAGCCCTGCGGAGGGGGCGGGGCCTCCGGACTCACCTCTCTGCGTCTCATTCATACTTCAGTGACGTGTTCATCCTTCACTGCCATGAAAAGTTCAGCTGGCTTTAAGCGTGACCAAATGCCAGAGGAAGGACATCGGGGTCACCTGCCGCCTTTTACAGGTGTGAATGTCTGAGCACCTTAGTGCTGGATCACTCCTTTAAGCCCTGACCCCAGATTCAGCAGAGTCCGGTTCTGTTCTGTGATGATGCATCAGTGTTTGATCCGTTTCTGATCACTCACTGTAGGAAACCAAACAAAGTGCATTCTGGGTAAACTCCCAGGGCTCCTTTGGGACAGATGTCAGCTCAGAACAGGGCAGAGCTGATGTTACAACCCTGAGTATTATGTAAACCTACCTGCCCTGCTGCCTCCTAACCCTAGTTTTTTTTTTCCTTTTCTCTTCTTTTTCTTTCTTCTTTATTTTTCAATTATAAGTTAAAATGTGACAGCAAAGAAAGTGTAAAAAGACATACTACTGTTATATTCAACAGCTGTCCCAATAAAAGAGATAATAATAATAAAAAAGAACAGGGCAGAGCAGGTAACAGGTCTCCTTTACCTGCATATAGAGGCCGGGGCCATCTTCCAGCTGAGGGTCCCTGTGTTAAGCTGACAGTGTGAATGCATGACGCCATTAGATGTGATAAAGCCCCCCCGCCTTCTGCTGACGTCTGCAGCAGAACAAACTGATAATCAGGCTCTGCAGTCACAAACTCTTCGTTCCACATCAGCAGATTATCAGCACGCGGACATGATCCCGTTTATAGAGGTGAACAAGTGTTGTGTGTGTGTGTGTGTTGGGGGAAGGGGGCCTGTGTATGTTCAGAGTATGATGAGTAAGAGCACACCTGCACAGGTGTCTCTTCAGCTTCATCTATCAGCAGCATGACCTCCTGAGGCTGGATTCCTTCCAGTGGGCGGTGCTCCGACAGCTGCAGGTTACAGACAGATGTGACAGGAAGAGTTCAAAGTGAACTTAGTGCAGCGTGAGGCCTCGCTGCAGGTGAGTCAGGGCTGATTTTCTCAGGTGTGAGGAAGTAAAAGCAGGAGTAACTGTTCCTGTTTCAGACACAGTGAGAGACTCGTTAATGCCCTCCCTGTAACGTTCTCGCTGTAACGTTCTCCCTGTAACGTTCTCCCTGTAACGTTCTCGCTGTAACGCTCTCCCTGTAACGTTCTCGTTGTACCGTTCTCGCTGTAACGCTCTCGCTGTAACGTTCTCCCTGTAACGTTCTCGCTGTAACGCTCTCCCTGTAACGCTCTCCCTGTAACGTTCTCGCTGTAACGTTCTCCCTGTAACGTTCTCGCTGTAACGCTCTCCCTGTAACGTTCTCCCTGTAACACTCTCGCTGTAACGTTCTACCTGTAACGTTCTCGCTGTAACGCTCTCCCTGTAACGTTCTCGTTGTACCGTTCTCGCTGTAACGCTCTCCCTGTAACGCTCTCCCTGTACCGTTCTCGTTGTACCGTTCTCGCTGTAACGCTCTCGCTGTAACGTTCTCCCTGTAACGTTCTCGTTGTAACGTTTTCCCCGTAACGTTCTCGCTTTAACGTTCTCGCTTTAACGTTCTCGCTTTAACGTTCTTGCTTTAAAGTTCTCCCTGTAACGTTCTCGCTGTAATGTTCCCGCTTTAAAGTTCTCGCTGTAACATTCTCCCTGTAACGCTCTCGCTGTAATGTTCTTACTGTAACGTTCTCGCTGTAACGTTCTCCTTGTAACGCTCTCGCTGTAACGTTCTCCCTGTAACGTTCTCGCTTTAACGTTCTCGCTGTAATGTTGTCGCTGTAATGTTCTCGCTGTAAAGTTCTCGCTGTAACATTCTCGCTGCAACGTTCTCGCTGTAACGTTCTCGCTTTAAAGTTCTCGCTGTAACGTTCTCCCTGTAACGTTCTCGCTTTAAAGTTCTCCTTGTAACGCTCTCGCTGTAACGTTCTCCCTATAACGTTCTCGCTTTAACGTTCTCGCTGTAATAGAGCTGGGCGATATGAGATTTTTTCATATCACGACATGTTTTTTTCATTTCAGGCGATAACGATATCTATCACGATATAAGCCAAATAACTATATTTGTAAGATTTAAATATGCCGTTGCTCACAAGTAAAATGTGAAATAATCAGCAGCTTGTTTTTATTTAAATATTTATTTCCCATAATAAGTTCAACAGGGTAGATGTACTTAAGGAACATGAGACTTTTTCAGATAAATAAAGGCAAATATTGCAAACTACACAAAAGGCAGCCGCTAAAGCGTTTAAGTTTCAAAATAGAACAAACGAAACAGACTAAACTGTCAATTCCACTTAGAAACAAAATATTAATTCTAAAAATAAATCTTAGTTTGTTTTACAGAAGAACAGACAAAATTGACTAACTTTTGTCAATATCAAATAAACTGAGAACTAAAAGGAAATTCTCAATCTCTCCTTGTTGTATAGCTGAGCTTTTCAAACAGTTTTAACAGTTACTTTAGTCTGACAAAAGCCGAATGACGAATTAGCGCTTCCAGTCAGAGACTGAGGCTACGTCCACACGTACACGGGTATTTTTGAAAACGGAGATTTTCCGTTTTCGTTTTAAAAAATAATCCCGTCCACACATAAAGGCAGAAATGAAGGAAAACGCTGCTATGAACATGCCAAAGCAGCAGGTGGCGCTAGATTCCTAACCATGCAGAAATGTAGGCCAATCAGAAGTCTAGAAGCCTCGGTGGGAAAAAATAAACAAAGCTGGGGCATAGAAGCAGAACAGTCGTATGTGTGGAGGGACAGTAACTGTGTGTATATGTAAGCATTTAAACACTGCAGAGAGTAGAATTAACAGTAACAGTATTGTATAAATTCATTTCACCGAAACAATAACGTGGCGCACAGTGTGACGCATGCACCAGTTTATTGTATTTCCAGACTTGCTTTCGGCACAATTTACAGTGCACGCTACTCTGTTTTTTGTCAGACTTGAAATAGCCGAAACACCTTCACACTACGGAATGTTGAAATCTCCCAATTCTTTGAATCTTTGGGCTGAAGGAAGGACAATACTCGGTGTATAAATGCTCAATCAACAATCATTTATTTCCATACAATTCAACAGTCAGAGCATTACAACGTCCGAACGGGAGAGATGCTACCAGAGGGTCAGGCACATGTCTCAAAATGGTGACGGGTTGCTCAGCTTTTTATAGTCTCTAGTGGCCCCCAGCTAGTCGTAAAAGCCAAAACATCACATTCTTTCTCTGTTACAGCGCCTAAGTTATGACCTCGGCAGTTGTTTCTCTGCTTTCTGTAAGGTGGGGGTGTGGAATGTGGTCTATCTATCTCCCCTGTCTTAGACACAGAGTCTCCTGCTTACAACCTTCTCTTCATGATTCAACAATTAAGCATGTCAAGAAAACAGTGTAACACATTCCCAGCAGATCAAGGATACAGAGTGATGCACATTTATCTAATGAACTAATATGTGAATATGTTCTGTTAACTCAAAAGTATAACGAGAACTAAACTACATACAGCTCACACACTCTATATTAAAGGGTATAATGTGATCTACAGCAGACTGTCTCGGCAGTCCCTACATCTGTCTCTGCTGTGAAGGGTCCTCACATCTCCGGGTCCCCGTCTGGTGTCTGTTCCTTTCTCTGCAAGAGACAGAAAACCAAAACACCTCTCTCCCTAGCCTTGATAATCTAATATTGTTATCCATTGTTCTTCTAATGATTCAAATTTGGTTCAAAATATTATGTTCAGGACTTATTCTAATCATAATCTATGTGTGTGTAAAAGAAATCAAAAATTAATGAATCATCTCTAAGTCTAACACATTATAAGCTTAAGTTTTACCATAGCTACATTATTAAACACAAAAATAAACTCATAGAAATTTTCATATCACCATTATTTGATGTTCAAACTCAACTTCCACTTCCCCCTTTTTGACACACTCCCATGTGTCAATTCATCGGAGCTAGACAATTAAAAGAGAAGGTTAGTGACATCATATCTCAGAAAGTATCAGAAATTCTTCTCTCGAGTACCGTTGCTCCAGCCTTGTTATCCCAGAGGATCCTCAATCCCGGAAATGTCCCTTCTCCTCATGTAATGAAGTCTGTCATCCTTCCATGCCCTGGTAACTGGTCCATCCAGAGCTGTAACATTTTGATATGTACATACAACAAGCCAAACCACACCTTGGTCACACCAACCCTTTTCTGCCCTGAAGATGTCCAACGCCATCTTAGTCTGGACCAGGGTTGTAATAGTTTTGCAATTTTCATCAGTTTTTATTTTTATTTAGCTTCGACTTCAGATTTTCAATTTTATATCAGTTTTAATCAGTTTTTACCAATTGTTTGCTAGTTTAGTTTAGTTTAGATTAGTTTCAGTTATAGTTTTAGTTGTGTCTGCAATAATTAAGTGTAGCAAAATCCCAGTCCCATCATATCAGTCATGCGCTTGTGCTTATCCTTGGGTATTGTGACTATTAACTCTTGCAGCACCGGGTGCTCCTAATTTTGGTTCAAGTGAATTTATAAACTTTGTGAAGGGAATTGACTCCTCTGCACACTGGAATAAACATAATCAACATGATCCACATTTTACTGCGTGTTATTTCACCATCTTATTGATTCAAATGCTCCATCCTTATGTGGTTTGCGACATTATGTTTATCCACTTTGTCTCTAAATGTTTGAAGAATTTTCAAGTTTGGGGTCAAATTTTGAGAATTTGACCATAAGTGAAAGTTATGGTGTCATCACCCCCTTCGGGGCTTACCTTTCCCAGTTGTGATGATATTCCTCCCTATTCTTTGCAAATACCCCCTGTTGGTGGCGAGAAACTGTTGGTGTGGTCAAGTGGGTGCTCTAGAAACAAACGCTCAGGACAGAACAGTTATCAGTCATGTACTTCCTACAAATTTTGCATATGTTTTATTTCATATTGATCCTCTGAGTGTAATGGTACA